GTACCAATTTGTCGTATTTTACAACAAATTAATATGAGTAGACGCGAACAAATAGTCAGCTGATCGAACAATGGGCAACGTACCCACAGTGCACTACGAGGAGTGGGGATGAAATTGGCCAGCCAGGGATCGGTTATTTTGTCTAGAGACGTCGAGTCGTTGCCTTCCTTTCCTACGCGTTGTTAGGTGAGCTATTGAAATCGATCGTGCAAATTAAATTCACTCGCGGTGTTTGTCCGGCCAATTCTTATTTTCATCAAATCGCCTATATCCCGCAGGGATATAATTGCAGCGCGAGGTGTAAATAGAATCAGTTTTGAGAAGAAAGTGTTGTATAGTAGCTTTTTCTGGCAAATACAGACCGCCATTGGACATTTCACGTTCGTTGACCAAATCCATTCAATCGCGTTTTTAGGGTAAAAGCTCACCTAATTTCGTTTTCCCCTCCTATCCCAATTTTTATGTCTGAGGCTTGTTGTTGATAGTGACTGTAACCATGTATTTGTCTGAGTCTGGTCCTACTGTGTAGAGATCTTCTACGTCATTGATTTGTGTGATTCCATACTTATCTGGGTAACTGGATTCTTCTTCTGTCTAGTGAGACAAAAGGGTGTTTGTTTTAGAGTTCTTTAGTAGGGACGTTATACACACTTTTGATACGTGGCCTTGTTTTCCACAGGAAGTGCATTTAATATTATTCCGATTAGTTTTGCATTCATTAGACTGATGGTTTGATCGACCACATTTGAAACAAAGTCCATCAATACCCAAAGCTTTGTAGTCAACGTGTCTTTTTAAGCTTTTGTTACGGAAATGTTGTGATTGAGATCTATTGCAACCACGGTCATCATATTTGGGAGTCTTAAATTGCTTGAAACTTTGATATTCCTTTGTCTTAGACCTTGAATGTCTATCAATTTTGTGTGTATCTGCATTTTCGCTTGATGATTGTGTGACAGGATTACAAATTTATTTGATTCATAGCGGGAAGCTTCTAGGGCAATTGCTTTCTTGAGGAGTGAGTCAAAACTGTTGAGATTAGTGTCTTGTAGAAGTTGTTCACGTATCCAATTGTCTTTTAGTCCTCTAATAAATTGAGGGCGGAGAAATTCATCAGCAATTGAAATTTTACTTTCACATTCATTGCAAGAAGTGTAAAAATTACAATCATTCAGGATACCTTTCAGGACTGTGACAAAATCAGAGATAGATTGATGCAACTGTTGTGAAACACTGAGAAAATAGTGTTGTGCAACAATATGAGATACTGTAGGTGACAATATCACTGTGAATTGTTCGATTAATTTTGAAAAATGTAATTCTTTTACAGGATTGTCTGGGCCCAAAAGAGTTGTCAGATTATTGTAATGTTCCTTACCAATGGATGAGCACAGGAGTTGAGCTTTCATCTTGTCTTCTATAATGTTCTTCAAATTGCAATAATTTTCAAAACGTTCCAAATATATATGATTTAAATTTATCATTATTTGGATCAAAATGTTCAAAAGGATTGATCTGAGGAGTTGAAGTTTTATTGCCTAGAGCTTCAGCCAAAACATTCATGAGTCTTTCAAATTGTTCTTCATTCATTTTAAGTTAAAAATGTAAAATAAAATATCTTGAAAATAATAGAATAACAAGAATTGATAATAGTTTTTTACCAAATCAAATCGTCGCCAACTGAGATGACTTGAGTGGAATATTTGAACATAAAATAAAGACAGTGTTGAAATTAAAGTAATTGTGTTATAAGCTATTCAAATCAGAATAGAAAAGTAAACAGCATTTGATAATAAACATTTTGGTTGCTATGGTAACAACTATAGCTACATATTATGTTCAACAACACACCACTCAATTTGAATAAAAATTAGTCAGTTCGGTTTTTGAGGACCGATATATTGTGAATTAATAGGTTACTATGGAATAAATCGCAACAACTTTTGAGCCATAATTTTTACAGCAATGGGAATGGGGGTTGGACCATGGAATGGGCACACGGAAGGGACTAAGGCTAAATGTGTAATGACGTCATATCTCTAGTGGTTATTATCTTCTCTTGAGGCGACACGATTACCGTAACGAAACGATGTGATTTCAGCGGCGTTCGTGGCATAGTTGGTAGCGTTTCGGATTGCTGTTCAGGAGGTCCGGGGTTCGAAACCCGCTGGCAGCATTAACTTTTTGTCAACAAATTTTTCATATCAGCAAGTTTGGTTGGTTAGGTTAGGTTATGACAGTTTAATTTTATAATACTTAATTTTAAAATTAATTTTATAATTAATTAAAAATTATAAGTAATCATTAATTAGATTTTTATCTTATATAGTTTTTATATTATCAGCAAGTCTGGTTGGTTAGGTTATGTTATGACAGTTTAATTTTAAAAATTAAAAATTTATTTTATAACTTTAAAACAATATTTTATAATTAAAAAGTTAATTTTATAACAAAAAATAAAAAATTAAAAATTAATTTAAATTTTTTCAACTTAGCAGTCCTAGCGGCGAACGCTGACACTACAAGATATGTTAGCCTTAGTCCCTCCCGTGTGTCCCACCGGTTGTACCATGGCCCCACTAATTCTGGTAGTCAAACCAAAATAAATGGAATTGTTTCCCGTCTGACTTAGGCTAATTCAAGATATATTCACATTAAAAATTTATAAAATCAATTAAACATAGAGAAAGAAAAAGGGAAAATTTTGTAGCATACTGGCAATAATAGAGGTACTATTACGGCTATTAGAGCTCATTATATTACCAGTACCACCATTGGAGTAGCCTGTGTAACGGCCAGAGAAAGCATGTGTGGTTTTTATGAAAAAATACGACATCCTGTTATAGAAAATATAGTTCTAGAATGCTAGTAACGACTGAGCCAAAAGCCTCCCCTTTGCAATGCCTTGGTTGTACCATCTTGTTTAGAGTCAAAAGGAGTATAAAATCCTAAATTTTAAACAAAACCGTTGTGGACAGTTTTGAGAAAATCTAAATTTTTTTTTAATTTATGGGGAAATGACCATTATGAATAAAAAAAAAAAAAAAAAAAAAAAAAAAAAAAAAAAAAAAAAAACTGGAGATACCATGAATTGGTACCTACATGTACTCAATTTAATCAAAATCGGACCACAGATGTGGTCTGTAGACTGTGCACATACAGACACACATCACAGACATCACTTCAATAACCACTTTTATTAATTCGGGGGACTCAAAACTCAAACTTGAAAATGGTGACAAAAACAATTATTAGACTTTTGCTCCATACCGTAGGCCTACTATGTATGTTATAGGGGGGCCCTCCTTACTCCCCCCCCCCGGGGGAGCAAAAAGGGGTGGCATAATTTATCAGCCCAAGCACTATAGAAATCTGAAAGATATTGAGTCTGAACACCTCCCCCCTACTTTAATAATATTGTTATCATTGGGAAAATACACAGAACGTCAGTGGGTAATATATAATTTAATGATAAATTTAAGTCCCAATAATACTGAAATTCCAGCACCCCCCCCCCACAAAGTCGCCCAAAATGTCAGCATAAGAGCCCTAGCCCTCTCTCTACTCCTTAGGATATTGGGCTAAGAAAAAACCTGTGTAACTCTACTGAGATGGAAAGAAAATTAGAGACTATAAACTCAGAAAGAAGAATAAGAATATTGTATTGCAATTGAACAAGTAAATCGGAGTTTTAGAAATAGGCATTGTTAAATTATTACATTTAAATAAAATATAAAGGCAGTTGGCATGCATGTTTTCAGTTCCCCTGAAGGCCTGAAGTCTCAGGTAGCTGCAGCATTATTGTCTGACGATGCCTTACGCAAGTAAGGGCCGGCGCGCACTATCCCGACCACGACCACGACCACGACTCCGACTGGTCGGATACGACCAGTTTTATAATAGGAATAAATGGAACAGCGCGCACTGGTCGACTGGTCGGACCCTGGTCGGGCCCTGGTCGCACGACCAAAATTTTCCAGTTTGGTCGGGCCCGACCCGCTGGTCGTTGCAGCCAAAAATAGCACACAATGTAATGGGACGACGCACACTACCCCCGACCCGACCAGGACACCACTCAACCCCCAGTATTCATAGACCAATCAAATGGTGAGCACTAGCTTTTTGCGCCGGTCTGTGAAGTGACTCATTTGGTAAAATGTCGCAGGATTTTGACACTTTTGAAACCTGTCTTCTTATTGACGTAGCTCTTCATAAAATGTTGCAAAATGCCCTTTCAGACCTGACAGTTAACATTGGATATACCCAGTATAGTGTCTTCTTCCGCTTAACGTACTTACAATACAAATGCACAATAACAACTACTTCTTCAACAATCATCTTGACACTGAAGTTTGTAAAACATTCGTTGCCTTGGTCGGGTCGTGCTCTGGTCGCATGATGAATGACAACCACTGGTCGGGCGTTTGGTCGTGGTCGTGGTCGTGGTCGAGATAGTGCGCGCCCGGCCTAATTGCAACGGAGAGAGGACGCGCAATGGGACAATTTTGGTTAAACCTCAGGACTTTGAAAGCCAAGTTAGTATTGAACATAGGGTAGAGTTCCCTATTACTATCAAAGATGGTATAGTCCTAAACTGTATGTCACCGCGGCTATATTTTTGTAAAGTCTTAGTTAAGTCGGCTCAGTAATTGTTACTTGATTATAATAAAACACACATAACGACAGATTTGGATTTGTATTAAATAGTTCGGATGTTTAATATTTCCTGTTTCTTATTCCATTTAATACAAATTTTCAACAACATTTTTATGCTATTAACATTTTGCACTCTGGTTGTGTTATAGTTATGTAATATAGTATAAAGGTACTGTTTATACATTTTGTTGGGGTTCTATTGGTTCCCTGATTTCTTGCATACGCCACTCCTACTTTGCTGGCCTACTTTATATTTTTTTCTTTTATTCGTCATTGACGTTTGACGTTGGTTTGGTTGTTACTGGAACAGCTGTTGAGTTCGGAGCGGAGAATAGATAGAGAGGCTCAGCTCAGCTCAAAAAGAGAATGGAGATGATGATGATGCCATGCCATGACGATTTCTAATTTTTCTGTTCTGTTCTGTTCTGTTGAACACTGACGCGAGTTCGTAGAAGTTGTGTCGTGTCGCCGCGCCGCGAGTGTTGTTATGGTGTTTAGTGAGTGAAATGATAAATGAGCTGCCTTCATAAAATTTTATAAATAATTGGCGTTCCTGTGGTAAACCTTAAAATATTTACAGTAGCCTAGTTAGTTTGTCAGTAAAAAAATTCAAAATGTTTAGTTGGCTCAATAAGGACGATAAAAATCGACCAGAACTTTTTGATAATGTAACAGAAGGACTCAAAAAGATCTATAGGACTAAACTGTTACCATTAGAAGAGGCTTATCAGTTTCATGATTTTCATTCCCCCAAGTTAGACGATCCCGATTTCGATGCAAAGCCTATGATATTGCTTGTCGGGCAATATTCGACTGGTAAAACCACATTTATAAAGTATTTGCTAGAACGTGACTTCCCTGGAATAAGGATAGGGCCAGAACCAACTACTGACAGGTTTATTGCTGTTATGTATGATGAGAAAGAGGGTGTTATCCCAGGAAATGCCTTAGTTGTAGACCCTAAGAAACAATTCAAACCCCTAGCTAAATTTGGAAATGCATTTCTAAACCGTTTCCAATGTTCCCTTGTAAGTTCTCCTGTACTTAAAGGAATTTCCATTGTCGATACCCCAGGTATTTTATCTGGTGAAAAGCAAAGAGTGGATCGTGGGTATGACTTCACTGGTGTTCTTGAATGGTTTGCGGAAAGAGTTGATAGGATCATTCTGTTGTTTGATGCGCACAAATTGGACATATCTGATGAGTTCAGAAGATCAATTGAAGCCCTAAGAGGTCATGACGACAAAATCAGAATTGTTTTGAACAAAGCGGACATGATTGACCACCAACAGCTTATGAGGGTTTATGGTGCCTTAATGTGGTCTCTAGGGAAAGTTCTTCAAACTCCAGAAGTTGCTAGAGTGTACATTGGATCATTTTGGGACCAGCCTCTGAGATACGATGGGAACAGAAGGTAAGATTTATTTTTTAAGCAGAGGACACACGTCGGGCAACCGTACGTGGATTAAGTTAGGCGTCCGGCAGTTTACGGGCATAACCTAACCTACTTAACCCTCCGAGTGTCACGCGTCAAAAAAAAGACGCACAACACACTTTGTGTAGGGTCACGCGTCGTTTTTAAGACGCACAAACATCGTTTACGGCGAAGGCTCTATGACTGACTGAATCGGATTGAACTGGATCGAGTTAGGTATCGTTCTTTCCGTAATATTCTAAGCTTTCTCCAGAGGTCTGTCTCTAAGCGCTATTCATTTTAGTTCCGAAAATATTGTAGCAGACAGCTGACTGAGCTGACGTGCGTGTATTTGTAAACAGCTAGGTTACCCTCGGACCGATGACTGATGTGTTTTATTACGTTTATCATTGTTTTAGTGTTAAAAATCAAAAGTAGTGATATACGTGGTGCATTGTATAAGAAGATTTAAGTGGTTTTGAAGTGCTGGTTGATGATCCTGAAGATCGCTGATGTAAATTATCAGCCAGATTCCTAGCTATGGTTAGGCTATGCATTCTTAGCTATACGCTATGTACTGAAATCTGTTTTTTGCCCATAACTTATTCATTTGCAAATCTACTTCCTTATATTATTATATATTTGTAATCCTCATAAAATTTAGAACAAAGTGGCTATTTTCAAATATTTACAGGCTTATAATTTATACAATTTCATTGAGCGCGAACTTATTTTTTTTTTTGAAAATTTTTGAAATTATATTTTTTTTACCTAAAAATTTTTTTTTGAAACAATGTTCCTTATGTTTTTTATATAATATTAAAGCCCATGATTTTCCAAACAAAATGGTATATAGAACATTAGAATTAACATTGTTTTAAGCTTCTCAGATCCGTTTTAATAAAACCTTGCAAATGCGCCAAAAATAGGTGGACATCAAGGCCTAAACTATGGACACTTGGAGGGCTAACTAACCAAACTTACTGATAGGGAAAAAATTGAATAAAGGTTAGGCCTAAATTCTGTTCATAAAATAAAATTATAAGTTAAATGCCTCGAGTTTTAACAAAAGATGTAGGGACAGTTAAGAAGAAATCACGTTCCAAGTTTTAAGCAAAATCTTTGACTAAAAGTTAGTGTCAGCGTTGATATTCGATCTGGATTCCACTTGACATCAGTCGAGTACCTACATCCTCTATCCACTACACCACGAACACCGATGGCTGCACTTCGTATTGTTGCGGTAATGGTGTTCAGGGCCCCCACAACGGGGTGACGTCACTGCCGGACGCCTAATCTACGTCCGGTTACCGTCTGTGTATCTTCTGCGTATTTTTTAATTAAAGGGTGAATTTCTAGATTAAGTTTTAAGGCCACAGAATATTTTTTGGCCATTATTTAGCATGTGTACATTGGGATATGATGTAATTTTTAGATGTTTAATTAGGTAGCCGTGCAATTAAATAATGAATATTAAGCTTCAGTTTTGTTGAGTTAGGCTATTCAGCTATTTGTGGTTTGGACGAGTCCAAGTACTAGCAGCAACTAAAACAGAAAAGGGGAGGAAGGTTTGTGGAGTGGAAACAGCTGTTAGTTGTTTACATCCGATCTTCAAGTACAAACAAAACCAAACACAGACGACGAGAAAGCAAAATCAGAATTACAATTAGGCAACAATAATTTGATTTGTAAAAACAGACTCTGATGGCGTTTAGAAAATATCGTAGTACCGTAGCTCAACTATGATAACTTACTTCAACTATTAATCACATCAATCTTAATCATAAAAAAATTGAATTTAGCCTATTCTTGAAAAATACAAGTTGGCGTAATAGAGCCTATGCCACTGCCACTTCAATAACAACACGTGATCGTCCTCATTTCAACCCTCACAACGTGCCATAGTGCATAGGCTAATCCCATAAGTGCACAATTCCACAGTGCCTTAAAGTGAAAAAGTGCCACAGTGCATAATTTCATGTAGGCCTAGGCCCTATCAGCAACTCACACTATTAAATGAGTACCCTGCGGACCGAGCTTTGCTCGGGGAAAATAATTAGTTTACTCTGAAAGCAGTTTAATATTGCAGATACATTACCGGTAATACACTCCCAAACTCCACACTGCTCACCTTTACTACTTCCTTCACCACTCCCTACGTCGTGGACCTGTTTGCCCTCCCTTCCCATAGCATATTAGGATTGCAGATACCTTAATCTAATCGTCATAAACAGTTCCAACACTCCGGACTGCTCACATTTACTACTTCCTTCACCACTTCCTACGTGGCGGACCTGTTTCCCTCCCTTCTCAGAGCATTTTAGGTTTGTAGATACCTTCTAATCGTCATAAAAAGTTCCCACACTCCGGACAGCTCGCCTTTACTACTTCCTTCACCACTTCCTACGTCGCGGACCTATTTCCCTCCCTTCCCATAGCATTTTAGGATTGCAGATACCTTACTCTAATCGTTAAAAAATTCCCACACTCAGGACAGCTCACCTTCACTACTTCCTCCACCACTTCCCACGTCGTGGACCTGTTTCCCTCCCTTCCCATAGCATTTTAGGATTTTAGATACCTTAACCTAATCCTCATTAACAGTTCCCACACTCCGGACAGCTCGCCTTTACTACTTCCTTCACCACTTCCTACGTCGCAGACCTGTTTTTCTTCCTTCTCGTTGCATTTTAAGATTGTAGATACCTTAATCTATTTCGTCATATACCTACAGTTTCCACACTCCGGACTGCTCGCCTTTACTATTTCCTTCACCACTTCCTACGTCGCGGACCTGTTTCCCTCCCTTTCCATAGCATTTTAGGATTGCAGATACCTTAACCTAATCCTCATTAACAGTTCCCACACTCCGGACAGCTCGCCTTTACTACTTCCTTCACCACTTCCTACGTCGCAGACCTGTTTTCCTTCCTTCTCGTTGCATTTTAAGATTGTAGATACCTTAATCTATTTCGTCATATACAGTTTCCACTCTCTGGACCGCTCACCTTTACTACTTTCTTTAACACTTCCTCGGGTCGCGGACCTGTTTCCCTCCCTTCCCATAGCATTTTCGGATATGCAGATACCTTAATCTAATCGTCATAAACAGTTCCCACACTCCACACGGCTAGCCTTTACTACAATCATAGATAAAAAAGTCCTGCTACAATGTATCGAGTAATCTTTAGTATATAACCTTTGCTCAATAGTAACAACTGATGTTTTTCCTTTTGTACCGTACTGTATTTTGTAATTTGCTAGTATACTGTGGATAGAGAACTTACAAGAAATTTGTTTACTTTTTCCTTGTTGGTTATTTAATCCAGCCAAAATGGTTACTTAGCAACCCATAAGACTAATGTTTAAAAAATGTGACTTTCAGTTTCATTTTTCTACATAATTAGATTTTTGTTGGCAGTTCTAACTGCAGTAAACTCGTTTTTAGGTCAGGAATATAAACTATTTACAACATTTGAAGAAAATCGTCGGAACTATTTTCGAGATCTTTGTGCAAGCAAGCAAGCATACATACAAGCAAACATTGCTCATATTAGAGTAGGCTATAGGATATTAGCCTAATAATGAAACTCCAACAATAAGACATGTGCTTGGTAGCAATATTTTCTTTACGCATAAGTTATTGTTAGAAAGACATTTCCCGTCTCAGATGTGCAGAATCCCTTATAAATTAAAATAGGCTCAAAAATAAGCACAACTAAAGAATAAAAAAATTTAGAAAAATTAACATGTACCTTGTGGGTTACCATGCTGGTGAGGAAATAACAACAGTTAACCCTTTGAGTGCCAACGTCCGGGGAACCGGACGTTTTTAAAACGAGCCAAAAGTGCTGACGTCCGGCTGACCGGACGTTTCGTAATGATCGAACAGTTGTCATAACAACCGAATGGATACTCGGATTCTTTTAACCCATATATTAACATTGAGTCGAAAGTTACTAGATGCGATACATCGATTTTCGTTGGTCGAAATATCGAAAATTTGATTTTTACAAAATCTTAACCTAAAAATCGCCAGATCGCGCTCGGCATTTTTAGCGCGACCTTCGGGAAAAATCATCGGCATTTTTTGAGCGTTACTTTTATTTCTCGCCTGGCACTCTAAGGGTTTTTATATAACACATAAACAGTTAAAATCAAAACAACTGGAAGGAATTCCAATCACATGTTTTTTTTTTTACCTAGTGTGGGGTGAAAATATAAAAGTCTTAACTTATACATTAGGCCTAGACCTACATATTTTTGGTTGAGTTAAAAAACAACGACTGGACGACCTCTAGCAATCATTAGGTAGGTATTCTGAAGTCGTGTGCATTATTTACATACCGGTAATTAACTACTATTAACTTATCTCCTTTTTCTTAAGTAATGATGATAGATGCGTCACAAATAAACCCAAAACATGGTAAAGTCAGATACTTTCAGTGGAATAAATTGTAATTGTAGGTAGGCCTAGTTAAAGTCACATTAATTGATGGTTTTCTAATCTATTGTAATACAATACTTAGGCTACAGAACTTATTGTTAAAATTAAAAATACGGTACAAGCAACCATTTTGATACGAGACAGGGTGATTTTATTTATATAACCTCTCAATAAATAACTTATTCTTGAGTAACATCCTGTGGAATTTAGCGTATTGTTCCCATCGCCTATTGTGGAAGCGGAAATGTTGAGATTCCTAGAAAGCGACAGTTAAACCAAACTGCTCTCAAAACAAGGTCGGTTAAAACAAACTGTAATATTTTACAAGTAAGGGTCTACTGTGATAATAACTTTGTAGCCTGCAGGCGTTTTGACACTTCTGAGGATCTAATTCGGATGTCAAAAGCCACTTAGTGGTCCCCCCTTTTAAAACTCCTACTCCCAAGGAAACATGTGGGCTCAAGGTCAAGTTCAGTGCATTTCTAGTTCATTCAGCTTCCTTGTTACTTATACAATGACTGCCATCTATTACAAATGTGCAGTAGGTTTGCTGGTACCAGCCAAAAAGCTTAAAATATTACCAAACATATTAACATAGGCCTATTCGCTACCGATAGTTATCGTCTAATTCAATGCCCTAACCTGTGGGCCAGATTTTCCTTTTGGACCAAGCTTATTGAACTAAACATAGGACTCCCCACAGGGTACCACAGACCAATCTTTTTTAGGTTACCTATTCGTTTTTCTCAATCAATAAAATCAATTCAAATCAAATCAATAGATCAATTAGGGTCTAAATAATATTTATGTTACATGACCTAAATTGCAAAAAAAAAAAAAAAAAAAATTCAATCAAGTAGACTATCAACAAGTAAATTAGTTTTGTCCTCAACTTTAGTTGACATCGGTCCATTGCAAAGGCTACTTTGTTGTATGTATCTATGTGGCCTATTTAAATCCATTAGCAGTATGTTGATCTTTATCCATGAAATTAAACACACAAAATGTTATAATAAACACACACCAACTCACTTGAAAAGGACTGGGTCGACTAGAACTAACGCATTGAGACTGTAGAAATTCATGCCTAAAACTTCTGCCAGTTGTACAGAAAAAATCACCCATATAGAAACCACAAACCATTGTTAGCTACGTTAACAGCTGTGTCTAAGGAATATGTCGGCCTTAGTCACTAACAAGACTACGTAAGATTGCGCCACTCATCCAACACTCATCTCCATTCATACTTGGCTTAAAATACCTATTTTGTATGGTCACCATTTCAATGAAAAGTATTAAAGAATGGTTTATCTTGTGCATAGCCTATTTCATAACCATAGTTTATTTTAGGCCTATGTATTAGTTACTACTTCATAAACATACTTTCTGTTTACAGATTGTTTGAAGATGAAGAACAGGACTTGTTCAAAGACATGCAGTCACTGCCTCGCAACGCAGCTCTGCGTAAACTCAACGACCTTATCAAGAGAGCGCGACTAGCCAAGGTAGGCCTAGTTACAGAATTAATTGCTAATCTATTTCAGTAGGCCTAATTTATTAACTTAAAATAATTTTGTTTGGTTATTAGAAACAATTGTTTAATTAATGATAATCTGGCAATCATATTATTGTCTCATTGGATATTAAGGCTTCAGCAAATCAGTGCAATTGAAAAACAACTTTTATTCACATTTTAAGAACAGCGTTAGTTTAAAATTTAGTAATTTTTCCTTTATAAACATAGGGTATAATGAATACAAAACAACATTGATGTAGGCCTAATAACTATTGTCTTTTATTAGGTTCATTTTTGTCATAGAAATCTTATTTTAAATTGGCCTAGTTATTTTAACAATTTAGACTTTTTATTCCAACTGCATTGTTAATACAATGTCAAGTTTGAATATTTCTTTATCGATAGTTTGTTGATAACTACACAGCTTTGAAAAAAACTCATTAAATTTAATTAACCTTTTATTGTGATTTATTTTTTTGGAATTAAATTTAGTTGTAACCCCTGAAACTCACTGAGTGACTTTAGATCCTGGTATGCTAGGAATGCCACTAGTGCAAGGTGCAGGGAAAGCCATTCCAAGTATATCCTAGACTTGGCTACTTTCTAGGCTCCTAGAGTCTATTTTCAGAGTTAACTGTCAAGGCCATTACTGTTGACATGTGATTCAGGCTTAGGCGTAACTGGTTTATTATTGTCTTCGTGAGGGTGAATGTCCATTGGGAAATTTGCGGGGTTATGAATCAGTTCGTCGCAAGTAGGTTAGATTTTATCAGTGGGCGGAGTGATTCAGGTGATTTAGATCAATTGTTGTTTGAAAATATTTGGAAGTTTTGATTTTTTCCAAAATGTAGGACATTGACTTAAGATAATTAAGCTGATATTCTTTCTACAATGACTTTCATGCTTTACTGCCTTCCGTATGTAACTTTACGTTTACCATGTAAACAGACCGTCTGGCAAATAAAGAAAATGTGAAACCCATAAACTATTCTCTATAGTAAATTTCTTTCTTTGAAAACAATCTACAATCGGTACAAGCCGTACACTGATAAGATATCAAGAAAGTATTTTCAATAATTATTACACAAGGGTTTACAGTTGGTTGGGTCTTAATAAACAATGATTCCCATTAGTGAAATTCTTTTAAGATTAAGATCATTATCTTATTTTCTCTAAGATTCTTTATCTTAAAATGATCACGTTTTTTCTGCGATCGCGCAAGACGATAATGTCTACATGGCCGCTGAAGATGTTCACAATTTTGCCGCAATCATGGACGACAATGACGTTTTGTGACCACGGCATTCAATGATGATATCTACACAGCCGCGGAAGATGTTCATGATTTTGACACGATTGCAGAAGACGACAATGACAATAGTGATATAGTAATCATTTTGTTTGCAAGAGTGGTAGTGCTGGTAACAACTGGCGAGTAGTCGTGGTCGACACCGAATCGAATACGGATAACCGATATCGAACGGCAATAACGCTCTAGCGGCAGATCGCAATACCTTTCTTTGACAGTCTATATTTACTCTATTGTCTATGGTTCTAAACATCTCCCGAGGGTTAAAGTGGAGCTTTCACATTATTTCAAACTGGTTGGATCAGTTTTAATTCAGGCTAGTATTTACTAGGTCACTATAGATGAGAGAACTCATAACCAAAAACTTATAATTCTACATGAATTTGAACAAATTGTATTTTTGGTCTCCTAAAACAAATAGTTCTATATAGCCTATACCGATGTCCGAAAAAGAACTCCCTAGTTCAAAAAATGCCTCACAATAGTATTAGTTTAAATGTAATGAGTAATAATCCTTTGGTGCTGTAGAGTATTTGTAAGTTTTAGTTTCGTACGTTGGCAATTAGTTTGGTACATCTGTTTGATCTTGAGTGTAGTTTTGGTAATGAATAATAATAAAAATATTTAAAAAATTAGAAAAATTGCTTGAATATTTGCATGGCCACAAATGGTTTGCATATTGATGTGTACTAGTGTTAAAAACTTTTATTTCATTACCTTTCATTTAATGTGTCAGCCATTGTATAATTTGTTTATTGTACAATAGATAAATACAATTTTTAACTAGGGAGTTCTTTTTCTGACACCCTGTTTAATATGAATCTGATCAAATGGTGTTTTTGGCCTTTGGAGACATACACATGAAAAAGTAAATCTTTACCGGGTCTAGATCTTCACGAGACCTACGGCAGTAGCTTATTCCCAACATGGAAAAATTTGCTAAAAGTAGGTCACTACTACAACTTTTATACCTCTTTGAAACATTTATTTTATGAGTTGATACCCTTTTAAAGGATCATACAAGACATTTTTTATCGCTAAGAACATAATACGTTTGTGTGGATTGTCCTTGACTTGTAGCCAACTAGGGTATAATTGTTATTCATTGTGTGCAGTTGGAAGAGTGCAATTTGAAACTTGATCTTGTACATTGAGGCGAGCAATTTCACACTTCCTCTGACTGATTTGTGATTTATGTGTCTGTGTTGGTCGAACGACCCTCAACTCTTTTGTATGAAGCTAACAAGTCTGGTTAACACTTCTTCAATAATTTTTTAATTTAAGAGCTAGGCCCTATACAGTTTTTTCCGACTTGATGAAATTAATCCATACCCATACAAGTGTGTCTCTAAAGTCAATCCTACAATCACAAGATGATTGTATTTGTGTGGCAATAATTTTCAACAAATTGGTAAAATACACATTTTACATTATTTGCAAGTAGTAGAAAAATAGTTTGCTTTATCAAGTAGGTGGGCTGTTATGCTGTTAAATACATCAGCGATAAACAACGGTTTTATATTTCTAAAAAACAATAGGGCCCAACTAGGTTCAGCAATTGAAATCCAATTTGAATGCACCATTTTCATTCATAACTCAACTAGAATAACTTATTATTCTTAAAAAATTAGCAAAAGCTAATTAATTGACTACCTATCGAGGTTATGATTAAATAAGTTTAAATCTCAATTTATTGGAATGCAAAAAAATAAATAAATAAGAACCATTTTTGTAATATTCTTTTTCAATGCATGTTTAAATTTACTTTCAAGTTTTGTAAGCGATAAATGTTAACACTAAACTAAACTGTTTTGAAAAAAGAAAAATGTATCCAAAAGCCACGTCTGTTTTCTGTTGACGGAACGATACTCCTGAAATCCAGGAACTATTGAGTCCCCTAGGATGAGGAAGTGAGCTGTATCAGATGGGAAATTTGCCGCTCTAGTCGTAATAAGCTGTGTAGCAATCAGCTGTTAGTCAGGTGTTGCTGGCCCAGCTGACCTACTTTGCTTATCTGCTTGTGCTTACTTTATATAGAATCACTTGGGCTATTTACACTAATTGTGTTTTTTTACTGTGGACGTGGCTAAATTTGTTTTACCTTAATTGTTATTCTTTGATTGCTATACCTTGTTTTGGTTTAAACATTTGAATACCCTGCCACAGAAAGCCTGCAGACTAAGCGAATTTCCATTTATGTATGATTGTATTTTCACTGAAAATATCTGTTTAAAAATGTAAATTTGTTTCCCTATTTAAATAACATTAGTTTAATAAGTACTTGTTTGCTGTTACAGGGGATGTAATAAAGTAGTTTTTTAATATGGAATAGACACATTTTCAAATTCGATTAAGATATGTTCATAAGCAAGCAAACTACCACAGTTTACTTATTCACCATGGGGATAACATAGAATTATTTTCAATTGACAGGTTTTTAAGCATGACAATGCTTGGTTACCTTTGACTCTTTAGAACAGTCAATAACACTTTCCTTGCATAAACCTTAAGTTGATGGTTAACCTGAGCTCAAAAGGTTAAAAGTTCCAAAGAATAAAATACTTGTGAAAGCAATTATTCTTAGAAGGCCTGGACGTTTCCTCGCTATTCAGATTTTCAAATTGACTTCTTGTCTTCAATCGTCTGTTACTGAGAATTTCAAACCAAAAGTCTTCAATTGCACGTTGTTGAGATAACAGTACAGTCTGTCAGTCAAACTCAAGTGATCGTCTACACTGTTGACCTGTATACTACAGACCAATTAAGACTGACGGCTGCATTAAACACTGATATTACTGACTGACATGGCGTCATGCACTTTACTTATCTCGTATCGTAACTGCTCGCTCAGTGGTTTTCCGAAACATTAACCGTGTTTGATGATAGGAATATGGTTCTGGAACATGGTTAATTATTTTGTCACACTCTTATTCTTGTAATAAAGTAGTGTGTGTGTTTTGTATATTGATAGTTAACAAGGACTGATTGTATTTTTTTTTTTCATTTTTGGTTACCTAATTTTTTTATAGTAGCTTAATTGTCATTTTGGGAAATTACAACCCCTTAAGGGAAAGTAGTCAAATTTTGTCAACTTTAATGATAGGGAATGCATGCCAAATCAACAAACAATTTGAACATTGACCTCTCAGATTTGGCTGAAATTTTGTTTAGGAATTCTATCCACCAAAACTAGTTATATAAAATTTGCATTTTTCTGAATTTCGGGTTTGAGTTTTGAAGATTTAAAAAATACAAAAAATGTCTGTTTTTGGCTGATTTAGGATTGTTAAAAAATTCTAGCATACCACCAAACGAGTTCAAACTTTCGCCATTGTTTTTCCTCTAAAAATTTCCTCTAATTTTATTACAGTATAACCTTTTTACAAAAATCTTGAAAATTAAACAAAATACCCTGTGCAGCATACCTGCAGCCTAAGGTAATTTCCATTCCTCATTTGAGTTTCTGCTAAAACATTTCCTTACTGTAACCTAAAGTTTTGACCTGTAAATTTTATATTAACAACTTGAAAATATGGAATTATTGTCTTCCAATTTTATTCTCATGGCTTCTGGAACACTCTAAATGGTCTTTTAAAAAAAAATCTAAATTTATAACCTGTTTTGCTTATGAGCCTAAAAAAGGAAGCGTTGCAACCAGAAACCTGGTTTCGAGTGTCAAGAACGAAAGTGAGGTGTGACCAATGACTTATTCACAGTTCACTGAGCAAGAACGGACAAAGGGTCTTGCCCCAGAGGTCGCAAATTGACTCGCTTGTAGACTCTCACTTCCGGGTTAATTGAATTGGGATATCACTTGTTACCAAATTTTTGTTTATGTTATTTGTTAGTTCATACACAGGCAAAAGGCATTTTCTGTTTTTGAACGAAACTATGGGCCAAGGTGTAGAGTTTGGATATTCTGGGTAGGCTTTGCTGAAGTTGATATTGCTGTGATAATTATGTTAGGACTTATTTCCCTCAATCGTTTTTAATCCCAGACGTCCAAAACACTTTTTTCTCAAAGTTTTTAAGCATATTTGCTAGGCCTACTCGTACGAAAGATATTTATTCTATGAAATGCGAATGAAACTTGTAAAATCATTTTTGTTTGAAAGAGTTCGCCTCTAGCCACATATGTGGACTAAAGGGGAAAAGGGCTTCGGTTCTCTAAAGTAGGGCTTTGTTCAAAAACACCATTAGGCTTTCAAAATCAAGTATTGTAACATCAGCATTATACTCTTGGGAAGTTTAAATACTGTATTACTTATTTGACTTGAATATGTTGAAAAATTTGAATCTCTTTGATTAGCGATTTGCTGGGTATGGTTGCTAAAATAAAACTTAACCTAGGTTCCACTCGCAAAAGAATTAGACTAAGAATCAAGATTTTTTTTTGTTTACAACTAATCAAATTTAATCAGTACAGTAGAGTGCTCAATTTTGGAACACACTTTTTTACAGGTTTCTACTGTAAGGTCTGTTCAGGTGGTGAATATTTGGGAAGAGAGAAATTTACTGTTATGAATTCCACATTATATTTGCTGTACTGTCTGTCTGCATGGTAAATGCATGCGGAAGGCAGTAAAGCATGAAAGTCATGTGGAAGGTCATCAATTTCACGGCATGTTTGCGAGACAGATTGATTTTCCTGTGTTGAGTTTTCAGGCATTGTATTCATTCATCGATCAGTATTCATTTAGTTTGCACAATGAGGTCTTAGAAATTCGTAAAATTTACCTCTGTAAATGTTTATCCTAAACGCTGCCCTTACGTTAAAAGTTTTTTAAAGATCAATTATAACTGTGTTCAAGTCGTATGTGAATTTAATTAGTGGACATCTTGTCACAGGACTATAGGTCGGCCGCTTAGAAAGCGACCTCCTACAGCATTGGTTTAGCATTAGCGCGCAGGTCGTTTTCTAAGCGGCCGAACTATATTAGGGTAGTAGGGCTGGGATGCAAAGGGAACGGCAATCCCACTCAGCATTTGCATACTGTAGATCATATGTTAGTTAGTTTTTTAGGACAACATTCGGTCAGCGCTCCAACACTGAAAAACTTACAACAATGTTCAGGACTATGTCTGGTGGTTTTTCCTAAGAATACGTAACAAGATTTACATAAAATGACAAAGGCTGCCTTATCACTATTTTCAGAGGTGAATGCCCACTTGAGACTAATGATTGTGTATTTAAAGGTCCACTTTAGTGATAGTGATGACCACGACTAGTGATTGTGAAGATAGTGATGGTCTAGTGATTGCATTATCAGTGCAGATCACATTGGACGACCAACATGGATCTCTTATCAGGGTCAGAAGGTCATACTGCCAATTGGGTCGTAATTATATCAATTTAACTTTGCTGTTAGGGAAAAACTGACGGGTGAAAGTTTTTAAAGTAGAGATTGTATTGAAGTTTTGTTGGATCATTGTTCAAGGATTTTTTAGATTTTGAGAGTGAAAATTGTATTATTTTCTATCAAAAAATTTGGAATAAATAAACGCAATCAGATTTCAAACTGTTTAATGATTAGGCATACTCATATTTTTCAAACTAAACTAAGTCACATCTTAGACATCACATTGTTTTTCTTCAGTATTTATACATACTGTACGAATAAAACAATATGCTTGCCAAATATTATGGTTGCATTACTGTGAAGTGGTCAGTCTGGGTCCAAGGTTTTTGGTAAAAATAAGAACTTAGCTTATTATTTGAGCCTGCATAGTTTTACGTAGTACGTCTAATAGTGGGTTTTCTGTTATACATAACCTTTAATCGTGTCGGATTGGCATCTTATTGTAACCTGGAGCAGTTTTTATTTCCTCATCAATAATCGTATTGTGAGAAACCGAAAAGGAAATTAAACTTCATTGGTAAAGTATTCAATGAGAGTCCACTCAACTGTTCTTTTAATGTCACTGTTGGGATGTGTTAGGTTGTTGTAGTGATTCTTATCTAATCTGTCATGTAGGCGGGTTGGTCCAGTGAGAATAACTTTAAATCATAGTTTCTCTAATTTGCCTTAAAGTGTATTTCCTTAAAGTGGTCAGATTTATTGCCTGTAAAGATAACATTATATTCAGTGAGTACGTAGGTTTGCCACTACAAGCAAGGGAAAAAGTGTTTTTTTGATAAAATATTAATAGTAAGTTATAGTATGAAAAAATAAATTTACCAAATTTGATCAAAATATAATATCCACAAACAATTAAAGTACAGCAGTTTACTTATCCTTCATAAGAATGGGGGTTTTAAATCTGCAATTTATTGAATTTTCTCCACAACCAAAAATTGTACAAAATGTTTTGTTTTCGAAGCCCTGCAAAATGGTTTCACTAAAGAAATTCTGTGATTTGAGGTCAAAAATTAGAGAACCCAATTTCCCTCCCATAAAACACCGTTCTTATAGTCCGATTATTCTTATTCACGAAGTTGTTTCAATAAACGTAGATTTACTTGTTTATACAAAATTTGACTTTACCGGATAATTAGTTATCATGCTAATTGACACATTCATATGAATTTGAACAGATGGTGTTTTGGCCCTCTGAGTTCATCTACATGAAAAAAAAATCGGTCCTGAGTCTAGGTCATTCTGTTAAACTTACGGATATAGTTATTTCCCTATAGGGATATTCGCTAAAACCACAGGTCTTTTTAGAGGAGGAATTTTCTTTATTGAGAACACCCTAAAAGCCTAAAACTGTTTGAAATTTGCTTCAATATAATATTTTTACCCTTTGTATTCTCTCCAGGTCCACGCCTACATCATCAGTGCACTACGGAAGGAAATGCCCTCCATGTTTGGAAAGGACGGTAAGAAAAAGGACCTGATCAAGAACTTGGGAACAATCTACGAGCAGATTCAGCGGGAACATTCTATTTCTCCCGGGGACTTCCCAGATATCAAGAAAATGCAGGTGGGTGTTGATTTGATATCAGAGGCTATTCTATTTACCTTAGCAAAAACGAGTATGGGAAAGTTTTATCCTAAAAAACGAATTAGTTTTTTCATCTTGTTCTTATTAGACTGGAACAATTAGATGATGTTGTAATGTCATATTTTATTTATTTATTTTATTTTATTTTCCAATGCTACAAAACAGCACATGCCAATTATTTTGTAGCATTAATTATGTAAAAAAATAATGACAAAAAGAGTATTACAATATATAATTAAATATAACAAGGGAAAAATGTCCGTCTTCTATGGTGGCAACCATAATAACAGTTTCACTCAAAATATTAGTATAAAATATAAATACAAGAATACAAAATATAAATAAAATACCAAATAAATAAGAATGGAATATAATATTTAAATATTCAGTAACAAGAGAATTTAACTAACTAAAATAATAATACTGATGGTCATGAATCAAATACAGTAGAGTCCCGCAAACTCGGCATAATGTGGACTGGAAGGGTGCCGAGTTTGTGAAATGCCGGGTTATCGGGAACTAGGGTTAAAAATAAGAACAATACAATTATTATTCCTTTTAGCTGCCTCATTTATTTATATTTATATTACAAGTCAGTATCAAGTCATCAGATATAGTACAACAAATCCTTGGTACGAGTTGGGAATGATTTGACTTGAGCCCATGTTTAACTCGGACTCAAAAAATCACTAATTTTCTGAACCAGGTGATGGCCGAGTTATCCAGACTGCCGGGTTATCGAGTGCCGAGTTTGCGGGACTCTACTGTATAATAAATACGCAATAAATATAATATAAAACATAAATAGGTACTATTTTGAAAAACTATTAATTAATGTTGATAAGAAAGTCTTAAATAATTTGACAAATAGACATTTAACATTTTGTGTGATAAGTAAAATATATCTTATGCATTTAATGTCAAACTGAATTAAACTTCTTACAAGATTTTTGTTCAAAAGCTATAAACCCTACAAAAAACACGATGTAATAGTCCTACATGTTTATGCAAAAACAATTTTCCTACTTTTACAAGTAGTCAACACATTATTTACAAGATTGAAAAGTCGTTTGGTAGGTACAAAAGTACCTTCAAACAGAAAAAAAAAAATAGTTGCTTGGAGGCTAGCGTCCATCTTGTATAATTTCAAACAGCTACTAAAGAGTTATTTATTGTCCAAAAATATTTTTTATAGCCTGCACCAATTTAAATAATCTAGTAAACTGCGAGACAAAAATTTTCTTTGTAGTTTTGAATTGTTTTCCATGGGAGTCCATGGAAGCTAACTGTCATCTTGGATTTGCCCACCATAAGAACAATGTTCATTTCGTTAATTTCAAACAGCTACTGAAGAGCTAGTTAACTGTCTAGTTAGACTAGTTGAGCTTTCGACCACTGGACAACCTCTAGTATGTTTTAATCCACACATAAAATGACTTAAAAATAACATATACTCAAATGGTACCAACTATTCTGATTTCCAAATTTACTGATGACTTCACATGAAGTAATAGATAGAGCACACACATACAGACACATACACACACACAGTCACACCTGTCAATGCTTTGTTGGAAGCCTTGACAGCTGATTGTCTGTTCCGTTTTACGTTTTGTTCTGTCGTTTGTGCGAGGATATTAGTTTGTATCACATTGTCCCTCAGAGTTTTGCAAATAATGCTATGTTGATTTGACATTGTGCTATGTCAGAGGTAGGGCAAGCATGTTTAGGTACAAATCTTGACGCAATATGATCGGTTATGAATTTAAATGTTAGTGAAAAATAGGATACAAAAGTATATTTTTTTCGGTAAAAACTGAGAAAAACTTAATTTTAGAATTTACACAATTCAATGTTGACCTCTTTTTATGAAGTTAAGTCTTTGAAAACTAATCATGATTTCCCATTAAGCGGGTTAAAAGATTAAATTTTTTTGTTAAATAATGGTTAGGTATGTTCCTGGATTTGTTTGTTACTTATGTGTTTTCTATTTGCCCCTTTCTTATATCCTGTTTATAAAACAGACTTTTAGAGTGTTGATATTTTTTGCGATTAAATTTTTATACAATTTGGAGATAAATATTTCCTCTTAACCATAACAAGACAGTTATCTAATGATTGCAGAGTTATTTCAAACCCCCCATTAAAAGGCATCAGTAAGCATGAAGCTGTAATTTCAGTGAGTCAGGATGGTTTACAATGCTAATACAACCGGCTGCATGATTGCATGATGTATTGGACAAGTGTTAGTTGTTAGCCGATGTTTGACCTTCAACTGATAGTTAGCTACCTTGGCTTGGCTGATTACTGGCTAGGTTACTAAGTTTCCAAGATAAAATGTTAAAACCAGGGAATGTTCTGGGGAAATTATTGTAGTATAATGAATTATTTATTTTTCGTAGTGGAAGTTATCTAACGTTTCTTGACAAAGCAGCTAATTTTTTGTTGGCGAAGAGCACCTAAGCAATGATAAGGTGCTCTAAGCTCTTGAATCAAAAAAAGAACTTGTATTATTTCATGTTTCACAAATTTCGTCTACACAAGCAATCAGTGTCGACGTACATGAACTAGACACGAAAAACAAGCTTCAAAATTTACAATGGGATGAGAAGTCCTACTTGTGCTGGTTAGTCTATGGCGATATCTAAAAAAACAAAATTTTCAGAGGCAACCAATCTTTGACCCAAAAGGTTAAAATGTGAGTTGATTAAATGTTTGGGATCCTGGTACTTTTTACCAGTGCGGTCACCCTTGTACTGTACTGGCTCATGCCTTGCTTTTGGATTCCACTATAAACTGTAGGTCCCTTAGTTGCCATTAGCTTTATGGGCTATTAATTAACAGCTGTGTCTAAGGAATGTTGACCTTAGTCACTAACAAGACTACAAGATCGTGCCTTTCATCCTAGACCGCTTGGTTCAATTTCGAACCACCAAAAAACTACCATTTTTCACAGGATCGAACCGGGGATTTTTTGATATCCAGGCAAGCAACCCACCCAGCTACACAATAAGCCTGTGACATATTTTGACAAGTAACCTAGCAGAACTCTATCTTTAAAAGATACTTAAATATCCAGTTGGCTTTCCTTTTAAATATAACTTTTGTATTGTCAATTATGTTTTTTAAATTCCACATTATTTTGTACAGGAGGTTCTGAATCACCAGGACTTCACCAAGTTCCAGCCACTGAAACCAAGGCTGCTGGAGGTGGTGGACAAGATGTTGTCGGAGGATATCTCCAGACTGATGTCTCAGATTCCGCACGAAGACAGCACATCCAAGGTGGAACCACTCATCAAAGGTAATACTCTTTGTTTTTCACATCGTAAGGTGTACAATTGTTTGAGTTTTTATAAAGAAATTAAAGATTATGTGGATTAGGGTGGAGTGTAGGAAGGTTAGTGCCAAAGATACTGAAAATGTGCTCCAATTTTCTTCTTTTAATCTATTTAATGAGATTCAACAGGGTTTTTACATGGCTGTTCAAAATATCGAAATCAATGGTGGTAAAGGGAGGGGTTTTAATTCAATAAACAACCTCATTCCCCACCATTCTTATTGATTCTTTACTAGGAGTCCATAATAGTTTTTTGAGAAAACTTCTGTTAGATTTTTTTAAATTTCAGTATTTAGTGTTTTTTAAATCCAGTTTATTTCTTTGAAAAATATATGTTTTGCTCATTTTTGAGCTGGTTAAATGTCCTACACGTTTAAACAAGTTGGTTTTGTTGAAAAACATAAAAATCCTTGACCTTTCTAAGTTTTAAAGTCATTTAGAATTGAATATGATTTTCCGCTTTTTTCTTATTTATCAATACATAATTCATCAATTGAGGAGCAGCTGGTTAGAGTTTGGAACTTCGACCTTGGAGTCTTGGGTTTGAATACCACAATTCACCAATGCTTTTATCTAAATTAGTATTTAGGTCTATCTTATAATTTCTTGTCGTTTTGTAAGAACTTTTAAATCATCGACCAACTAGTTTCGAAGCATGTTATTAGGTTGTGGTTATATTATTGTTAGAATTAAATATTATAACATTTATTCTCTTAAATTTCATTGTGTGTGTTAGTACACATGTCTTATTGGTATTGTGTGTTTTGTGTTGGTTTTTGTGCATGCGCTAAAATTGTTTAGTGTCATAGTTTTCTTCAACTATATCTTTAACAGAAAGCTTCTGTAATTCTTAAAGATTTTGTTTGCTTAACGAGAAATGGTTAGATGTTTTAACTATATTTTCTTAACATTAGGTCTTACAAAATGTACTATTTAACCACATTTGTATGATGTGATTTATTTCATAAGTAATATCATGACCTCTTGGTAGATACAAACAACAAAAACATACCTAGTTTTATTTGTATTACCATTGACTATTGTATTGCCAATAACTGATTGTAATATCAAAGTTGTCTTGAGGGCTATTATTGGAGATTAGTTAAGCGATTGAGCAATAGCATTGCTTCTGTCTGAATCTGAATGGTTGGCTTTCTACTCTTTGAACTGATGATTTATAACTAGACCTTACTTCATGTGTTTTGCAACACTTTAAACTTAACACTTCCTGTAGTTGTTAACCTCTTGTGTTTTACTGCACACTTCTAAAGCTTGTGGATTCTAAAACGTTGTGATATTGACGATTGGTCTAATCAGTAGACTGAAGTTTGTTTAGGTGTGTCCTAGTCGTAGTCTATCGCTTCGTATCTCAATCTTCGAGTGGTTGGGGAGACATTTTAAGCACTAGGTTATCAGTATTTGATATTCAAGAGGGATTAAAATAGGTTAGGAGCGACGTTTCAAGTCTTGTTAATGGTATAACATGCTTAATTTATTTAAACGGGTTTTTGATATTTATTTTTCCCATTTTACTGTCTATTTCTTGCTCAAATTTTTGCTTTAATGACAGTTTTAATGGGTTTTAAATCAAACTTAAAAAATAGTTTAGTTTGTATGCATTTTATTTGACTCAGTTTTATGGCACTGTGTGAAATACAATGAGATAGGAAAGTAGAACCATTTCTAGTTTAAATAAACGTAAAATGTTCAATTAAGTTTTTCGTTCAACAGCTGCGGTGTGTTAATTGCCTTGCAACGTACAACAGATTGTTGAATTTTGCTATGACATAAAACGCTACTAAAGTAAGAATTTGGGGGAAAACATTTTATTCAGTTAATTTATGATTGTTTTTTTGGGCAAGACAACAAGTCAGTTTTATTGAATTGAAATCATACTTAAATTTACTATTTTAATTTATTTTATTTTAACCAAACAAATATTCCAATTTTAATCTTGATCCAGCCGAACTCCAAAAAAAAATTGTCCACCTATTAAAATCCATATATAAATCCCAAAGTACCCATGAACTTCTGAGAAAACTAAAAGTCACACCACCATAAACCATATAACTTACGTAAAATGTTCGTCATGACGAGAAACCTTGCGCAAAACTATCCATTATTTCATAAATTGCCCTTTAAGGTCATACTTCCTATCTAAAGTGAACTTTCCATATACCTAAATGTTAAAAATACTCATTTGTACTATTATTCTTTCAATTTAATACCTTATTAAAATCAGGTGTGATTATTTGTTTGTATTACTGTATTCTGTTTTGTTAATCTCAGCTTAACTTAACCAATCAAAAGTTTTATTAATATTTATGACGAATCATGTGAGTAACGGCTAGTTATCAATTGAAATAATTAAAAATAATCATACTTTTTATTTATTGTTACATTCTAATTCTAAGCAAAAAAAATGAAAAAAATAACTCATGCTATTGTATTTTAAAAATAAACAGTTCATGTTTAATGAACTCTTATTAGTTAAAGAATATTTGCATTAGGTTGATATCGATGAATACAGAAGTACAAAGGTTGTTATAAAACGTGTTGGAACAAGACGATTAGATATCAGCTGTGTAGTCAGCTGTTAAACGATGTAAACACCTTGGTCAGATAGAAGGGTAAAGGTCACTTAGAGGTCAGAGTAGAATGTCACAAGCTTGATCAGGTGTTTAATCAACTTTATAAAGGTTGAGAAATTATTTTTGTGATGAAACTGTGGAATTTGACATTTACTATTTGATTGATATAGTTCTATAAGTAATTTATACACTTTCATTAACTTTTTGTGAACTCTGTGGACGATTCATTGGTTTATCTAGGTATATTCATGTTTTAAAACATGTTTTCCTCATTTTTCAATTAAAGCAAGTTTTCAGTGGGCACATGTAGTAAAGATAAAGCAAAAAGTAGCACTTAAACCACTACTTATTTTCAATGGGCTGAAAATTAATTTTTTCTATAAAAAAATCTTGAGACCTGAATGTTTTGAAAGATTAAACTCACTAAGGCAACTGATTTTGCTTAGAAAACGCATTAGTCAAGAAATAGTCAGACATATAATGTTAAAATTAAAATGTAGCTCAACAGCCTAATAAATAAATACTGTAATCTATTACGATTTTAGACCATTTTTGGTTTAACCGTATTTATACTACATATTTGTTTATCAACTGTTCTTTCAGCTTAGCTTGCTTAAAAAGTTGGTGTAGGCCTAATTAAACAACTAATTTGTTATCAACATCAATTCAAATAACATGGTAGCTCATTAGGCCTTCAACTAAATTAATTTTCATTTAAAAACTAAAACTACAACTTAGAAAATACCACGAAAGGGTGTATACTTCTATAAATAGTTAAGGATTAAACTTGGGACACTGGTTTAAACTAATCAACATTCAAATATACAAATCAAACTCAATTTTTTAAGTGTAAGTCAATGTTTGGGATGGGCAGGAAGGTTGTTATCAATATTTGGTTGAGTTGGGCAACTCTTATCACCCACCATGTCAAATACCAGCTGTAACTTATCGGTGACTCAACGTGTCCATCACGCTTCTTATCACTGAATGTTTCATGACTGATCAATATGATAAGTTTTGTCATTTATTCAGACTTTGAAGTGTTCAATACTGTAATTGTCGAACAAAGATTTTATAGGAGAACCTTTAGAGGTCAACAGCCTCTTTTTACCTTGCCTACGCCTGTCCAGGCTTAATGCCTGTTTACGGAACATATTAAGTAAAGGAAAATGGATATGGTATAAAGATAAAGAATTAACTTAGGCCTAGTTGATAAGTTTGAAGTGGCAAACTCAATATACCTTGGTTAGTCTGCTGATTTGCCAATTATTTATTTAACCAACAAAGATTTAGTGCTATGAACACAGTGTGCTTACAAAAGTGTAAGGATCTACAAATATCAGGGTAATGAGAACACTAAAAGGAATGGTAGTGCCCACTGCTTCCATTGATATAAGGGGTTTTTTGTGAGGGGTTAGGGTTAGGGTAATCATACTCTTAGCTACTTTGACCTAAGCTCTAAGTGCTTAGCCATCTATCTCCATCATAAAACTGCTTTAAAGAGGATTTTTTTGCACCTCATTAATTGGCCGTCGTGAAGGACCTCCACCACTGAAAAAATGTTTTTAAATTCTGGTATCCACCATTGAAACATTTCGCCATACAATCGAGAATCAATTTTTGCTTGTAAATCCTGTACGACCTATTAATTAGAATCAGAATATATTTAATTTATTGTCATTTGCCCACATTGCTAGACATCGTCAAAGAACACAAGAAATACTACAGTAGTATGCAGTATAAAAGGAAAGAGTACAGATAATATAAAGATATGACAGAATAAAACATGATAAATTATTAGAAGCCGAAGGTGGCTAGCAGCTCTTTTTGTGGGTTTTGTCAACAGTTATGCACTATGTTGATAGGTGTAATTTAAGAAAACTCAAGTTGGGGACAGGTAGTGGATCAGTTGTTTGTAACTCGGTCAACGAGTTGTATAGTGATTGATTGCTACCAGGTGGAATAGCTTGACTCCATAATGCAGATCAAGATGGCGTAGTTCAAATAAACAAACTATTTGGATCGGTAACGACAAAAGGTCATAAATGTTAAATTTCATGCAGTTTATAACATTATTACTATTATTTTTATTACTATTTGCGATGGGAATACTCCCTTGGGAGAGCGAGCTGTCGTGATGGTTAGAGCGCGGGACTTAACCCCTGAGGTTCCGGGTTCGATCCCCGCCAAGTCACCAATGGATTTTATCTAAGTGATAGTGCCGCAACCCCTAGGTCTAGCCTGAAGTAATGTGAAAACAATCCCAGGCTCGTGCCTAGCGTCCTAGGACAAAAAAAAAAATAAAAATACCCCTAGGTCCTTATTTGAACCCAAATATGAGTATAGAATGAAGTTGGATGCCTTGTCTGGCTTTTTTACTGACTGAGAACAGCTGTCTCAGGACAGGACCATTTAAAAGCCCGATGGTACCTAACACTGAAAATATACACTTCACATTAGAAATAAACTAATGAATAAAATAAATATATAGATTAACAAACAGTTAAGATCAATGCAGTTTTGAAAAATAAATCACTACAACGTAATATGGGGAATTACTAATGTGGCATGTAACAAAAATATTTTGAGTTGGATAAATGGATTTTAAAACTTAAGAAAATCATTTAAGTCATATATTTTTGATCTTAAATGGTATAAAAACCATCGGATGCATGTAAAAAATAATCTGCCAATTCAATAATGATTGTTAAACTGTATCTTTTTTGGATGGATGCAAAAAATACCCCCGTCGCAGCAAACCTGCATACTAAGCGAATTTCCATTCACCCGGCTTGATTTTTACTAAAATATTCCCTATAAATTTTCAGATTTATTTCCTATTTAAATTAAATAACATTAATTTTAGTGAGTAGTTAGGTTTGCTGCTACGGGAAAGATGTTGAGGTGTGTTTTTTCAATTGAAATATTGATAGCTTAGTATAAAATAAGCCAAATTGCCAAATTTGATTGAAATATATCCATAAACAAGCAAACTAGAACAGTTTATTTATTCTCCATAAGAATAACATTGGAATTTTAAATTTACAATTTCTTTAATTTTCTCGGTAGTCAATGAACATTCAAAAAAACTTCAATATACTCAATTATTTGTTTTTTTAAGCTCTTCAAAATGGTCTAGAAAGAAATTTAGAAATTTAAAGTTTTTAGGGTCAAAAATGAGAAAAACCCATTTTTACCCCATAAAACCCCCCATAAACCCCTGATCCCATGGTCTGATTATGCTGGTTCGCGAACTCGTTCAAATAAATGTAGGTTTACACGTTTGTACCAAATTTCATCAAAATCGGATCAATTTTGCTCGAGTTATCGCGCTAACGGACACATATATAAATATATACATATATATGAATTTGAACGGATGGTGTTTTTGGCCTCTGGGGACCTCAAAACGAAAAAGTAAATCGGTCCCGGGTCTAGGTCTTACCGTGAGACCTACGGTAATAGCTTATTCCCTATATGGGAAATTCGCTAAAACAACATAATTCATTTCAAACACGATTTAAATTGATTATTATAGGTTTAGGCATATTTTTTTAACATTTGAGAAGAGACGTCTCTGCTAGACATTTGTCGTCTGTTATTGATATTCTGGCTGTATCGCTTTTGTGGTGGTATCATTGTGAACTCTGTGGTTAACTAACAATAGTGGTTTTCCACTCGTATCAAATTCCGCCTCCTCGATTTATTCTCTGTTCCTTTTAAATGTGTTTTGTCACAATGGGATTCTAGGTTCGCACATTTGGTTTAACATTCTCAAAATGTTTTTGGTTTAGTCTCGTCGCTTTTGGGTGTCACACGCTGGAATGGGGATTTATTGCACAGGGTTTTATTCTTGTTTAGTCAATATGTATAGTCTCGTTGCTTTTTGGTTAAATATACCATAACCCTGGACAGAATTGTTGGTCTAAGCACATTTGGTTTACCGTTGTTGTGTCGTAGGTTCACCAGCGTCTTCCGCATCGCACGGTTTGATTACCAAAGGTACGTTCAGTTCATATTTCCGCTCATTGTCAATCGTTCTGCCTTGAACTATTGGGTTTAAAATGGGGATGTAACAATGATCAATTTGAGTGAATGCTTCTTGTTTCCGTAATCAAGGGTAACTAATTTCTTGGGATAAATTTAACCAATTAGTAAAGTGTTGATTATATAGTATGTACTCCTAAAACCTTTTACTTGTTTGTGTAATAAAGACAACACACTTTGTGTGCTTGTTAATCTGAATATAAATAAAGAATGAATGTACTGTAAAATGGAGTGATATGATCTGTGTAGCTTTCTCACAGAATAAGAACAGCCGTTTCATCCAGGACCATTTTTAATCCAAATAAACCAAGGACAGCTGGGATCAGTTCCAAATCATTAAAAAACTGCTCACTTTTCTAATAATCGATTTGGCGACCTAAAACTTCTTTGGTTCATATACTCGCTTGAATCCAAAAACAAAGGTATTTTATATTTATTATACTTTTTCACAATATTTAGGCAGTTTGAGGGGAAGTTCCCCAACACTTTTTGTATTTAATGTATGTTGCTTAATCAGCAGTTGAGCTATTATTTTAAAAGTCAAGTGAAGGGGATAGATTTCTTCCCCTAAAATCACCTAAATATTGTGAAGGGAGTATAGTATAATCTCATCTAATAATATAAAAAAAACTGTTGGCAATTCAAGTCCATAGTAATTTTGCAGAAAGCGACTTTCCGATTTTTTAGCGAATTTCCCATATAGTTAATAAGCTATTTATCAACCTTGATGACTTTCCCGTTTGACTATGTATTAAATTTTTTTATCTGTCTGATAGGTTTTCCCGTTTAATGACGTATTTGATTTTTTATTATCAGTATTATCTGTCTTGATAGGTTTTCCGTTTGATTTTATCTGTCTGATAGGTTTTCCCGTTTAATGACGTATTTGATTTTTTATTATCAGTATTATCTGTCTTGATAGGTTTTCCGTTTGATTTTATCTGTCTGATAGGGTTTTCCATTTGATTATGTATTACACATTTAACTGTGTGCTCCTACATAAGTTCTTTATTGGTAAAAGTGTTAAATTATTTACTTGGGTTTTCTAAAAGCTATCTAAATTTTCACTACATTGTTGTCACTTCAATCATAATCTTTAAGACTACTTCTTAGATTGTAAAGATTGTCTATATTATCTGTTCATCTCATTCATTCTGTGTTATGTGATTGAAATTTAAATTGATATACGTATAAACTTTTGTTGTTCCCTTTTCCAAAAAGATAAAATTTGTTTCTTCGTTAAAAATTCTTCGTCAATTTTTTAAGCCTTAATCATTGTTGCAATGGACATTTTTAACAGGTTACAAATAAACCTGATGAGTATCCTATTGCAGCTGTTGTCAGATCAGAATCCATAGATTACTTTTTATCAATTGTGGTATGAGGTTGAGGAGCTAGTGGTTCCTTCGTTCCTTGAGGTCCCAAGTTCTAATCCAGCTAAATAACCGATGGATTTTATCTGAATGATAATGCTGCAACCCGTAGGCTTAGCTTGTAGTAATGTAAAAACGATCCTGAGCTAAAGCCTTAATATGTTCTAGTCGAACAACAACAAAAGATGGTGGTACAAGATCAAGTCGATTCCTAGACATTTTGCTCATTCTAAGTTAAATCCTTAGTAGTTAGGCTTAACTTGAGCCTCTCAGAGTGAAATGTTTAGCAAGAGTTTTATCTGATTTCTTGTCTTTTGCTAAAAAATGTAAGGTGGTGATTTAATTCTTGTTCATAAAATATTAACCTTTTGTCCATATATGAAAAAATACATCGCAGAAGACATCATGTAAATTCATTGCAGGTATTTCATTTTCACAATTTCGTAGTTATTTCGTTCATCTGTTAATGTTTTCATGTTCAAGCATGAGGTATTTCTCGGAGTGTAGGGATATTTGTGTTGTCATGGTGGTGGTTCTGTTGCTCGGTAGTCCGTCGCTTTGCGTCATCTAACTGATCCATGATTGATCCGTTGTTTTGCTCAGGTACAGAATCACTGATCCAAAATAATCTGGACAACGGAGGTTTGGTCAAAGGTAGGTGATTCGTTGATTGCAACTCGTCCGCTTGTAGATTAGAGCTTTGGTTCTGTCTCGTTATAATTGTATATTTACTTAGACACTGTAGTTTATTTAGTTTATATTTAAGAACAACACTAAGTAGTTTATTTGTACGGAACTCAACTTGCTCCCAAACAGTTAATTGATTTGTGAGGTGTCCAGCTTCGACTAGGACAAACTTTACCATATTATTCGGGAGGTAAAAAAAGCAAAAAAATGCAATACAACATGTGTTCTATCTAAAACTGTTAGCGTCTGTTTGTCTGTATGTGCTATTTACAAAAACATTCATGACTCCTTAAACAGTTTGAGCTATAGGGTTGAAATTCAGCAAACTTGAAAGATACTTCTGATTAAAATTAGATTCAAGTAACCGAAAAGTATTATCTCTGACTTTATTATCTCTGAAAAATGTATTAAATAAAACAAGTTCCAGCAATCAATTTTTCTGACTACATAGAAGAATACCTGGGCTTTATTATTTTTCAACTACAAAACATCAGCTGATAACGTTATTTTTAAATCAGCTGTGCTGTGTTTAATTGAATATCTGTTTAATGGTAAGATATTTGTATTTGGTTGAGATGAGGAAGTAAAGAATTCCTTTCTCCATTCGGTGAAAATATAAATTTGTATGCAGTATAAGTCAATATAAACAATATTCTGCCATACTTGGCATATTGTATTGCTAACCACTTCTAAAGTTTGTAAACGTTAGTTGAATAGATTGCACTGCTCGCTGTATCATGCACACTGGCTAATTAGTCATTAACAGACAATTAGTGTGATTGAACCAATTGACTAATGGATTACAGATGTTCTAGTTTATGCATTGATCACTCGATCAGTCCTTAGTTTAACATTTAGACCTCGTTAGATTAGTTATAACTGGTAGATCTTAATAGTATCAGACAAATCTAGATACAAAGACTTAAACTAATCAAGGTTTTAAACATAACCTGGTTACTGGCAAAACGATTCGATGTAGTTTGAACGACTACAGCTTGTTGTGCTGCGAATCGTGCACATCCTTAAGCTGGGTTTTCCTAAGTGTGGTAGAAATGAAATACTATTTTATCGTCACAAAACATTTTACAAATCCAGCGTAGCTGGTGAAACAGGTGACATTGTCAGATATTTAACATACAAAATAAAACTAAAAATTACATTTACTTAAACTAAAAATACATTTACTTATAATTTGAACATTTAGAAAGTGAATAATAATTTTTCTCTATAAGGTATTGTTTAAAATCATTTTAAATTTGTAAATACTGTCAATTTCTTTGAAGTTAGAGAGTAGACTGTTGTATAGCCTTAAACCCATATAATAAGAAGATTTTTCATATAAACATAGGCGATGTCTTGGATATTGAAATTTTTTACTAAATAATGGTGTAAATACCTGCATCTATGTGATCAACGTGTTGCTAAAATGCAACCGGTTTCGACTCACAAAGGAGTCATCGTCGGGCCAGTACAGATGTCATCTTGCTTCATTTGAAGGTCGTCAATTCGTAATAAATAAATACATCTAACACGCACACGTACACGAACATATAAACGAACATTTAAGGTTAAAAACGAAAGATAATACTATAGCGGTAACGGGACACGACGTGATCGGGCGGGGGTTATGTCTAGACTGCCGGTCAGGATCAGCGTGGTCAGTGATGACGTCGTGCCTGGATTTCCCGATCAGCTGGTAACTTCATTCACAACTGTCCCTTGTGCTAGTATCTTGATTGCAGTGTCGTAAATGTAATTCGACTGAAATGAAATCTTGTCGTTGATGATGTTTTGGCTGTCAATTTTAACGGCCCTATAAATTTCGAATTCTTCCAAGGTGTTTGTATTAAATCGGTCATTTGAGTGGTGTAGGATTTTCATGTTATTATCAATATTAGTGTAATTGTGGTTGTGAGAAACCAAATGCTCTGCAAAGGTCGAGGTCTGTGCTGTTGTAGTTCTTTTCGGTAGATGTTCTTTAAACCTTTTGTTGAAAGAACGGGATGTTTGGCCTATATAATATTTTGGGCAGTCATTACAATTGATTTGGTACGCTATAGTATTATCTTTCGTTTTTAACCTTAAATGTTCGTTTATATGTTCGTGTACGTGTGCGTGTTAAATGTATTTATTTATTACGAATTGACGACCTTCAAATGAAGCAAGATGACATCTGTACTGGCCCGACGATGACTCCTTTGTGAGTCGAAACCGGTTGCATTTTAGCAACACGTTGATCACATAGATGCAGGTATTTACACCATTATTTAGTATTTAAATGTGATCAGGAGGCTAAACTCAATATCATGAAATTTTTTGAGCGTGTGGTAGCAGAGAGCGGAGAGAGGAACACGAAGAGCGGACTCCTCTTGTCTTAGGTAATTTAATGTTACTGTCTTAGAAGCGGAGCGGAACGCCATGTTAATTGCTTTTCCGCCCTCCACTCTCTGCCATCTGCTCTCCTCTTCCGCGTCTAGGAAAACCCGTCTTTAAGTCAGAATGTCAGCTGATATTTACCAATTCTTTATGGTGGAGTTTGTCAGAAGTGCTTTGTACTGGATGGTATTGTTTTGACATTAACCTTTTTGAAATTAATTTAAAGCTTCATTAGTTAATTCAAACGATCCAGAGCATCATGAATCAAAGACTTTGTTTGAGTAGGAAGACTTTTTTTGTTAAATTTAATATAAGCGAATGATCTCATCAGTATATATTTTCCTCATAAGATTACTAACTCGAATCAGTTAACTGCATACTCTAGGCCTCTTGTTGTACTATGTTCTGCCTCTATTTTTTTATATTGCCATTACCTCTACCTAGCGATATATAGTTTTATATACATCTTTGATCTGTGAGAGGAATTTTATAGTCTAAGTTGGATACTGAAGTAGACATACTATACTTATGATCTTTGTTTATTTTTATAAAAAAAAACTTCGTTGAAATAGCAGAGTGAGTGCTACTTTTTAAATGATGTTTTCTTTCTTAGTTTTTGTTATTGGTATAGTTTATTTGGTACAAGAAATAGCTACCAATAAGTCGCTTTTAGTTTTACTTAATTAATAAATAAATATTTATAAAGTTTCACTTAATTAATAAATAAATATTTATAAAGTTTCACTTAACTGGCTTACTCCAACTACTTCACAGACAAGAAAGGCACAGTGGAAACACACTTGTGGGATGACCAAGCACTTTCAGCTCTGGTATGTTGTGCGAGAAATATACTTGTTACAAGCAAGAAAGAACCCAAGCAGTGAGCACTGTGTGGAAATTCCTATCGTAAAGGGCACAAGGTCTCCACCTTGAGCTTTGTAGAGCGTGATGGCGAGGGGGGGTGTTGGGTTTGCCCTAGACGCCACTAAGTACCATTGAGTTTTTTCTCAGCGAAAATGTGCATTTTTTTCTTAAACTTGTGACACCTTGTTACGTGGGAATTGTCCAATTCTGTCAATAGTCAAAGATATCATGAAGTGAAAGCACCTGGAGATTTTACTGAACCCAAATGCTAAGTGTAATATTTAGTGCTAATTTTGAATATGATGTTGAACATTCGCCTCTGCAGTTGTTGGGAACGTATCAGTCCACTTGGGCAACACATGTGGATACAATGTAAAGCAGAACATCTGGCATCTCCACTCTGGCATTTGTTTGCTGTCCGTCAAATATTATGCCATGTGTTTCATATTGGAATCTCTAATACATTGCAGACATTGATGCATGAGTTAATGAAATGTTTTGTTTTTGCCGAGCTTATATCTTTAGTAGGCCAGTTGTTGAGTTGTGTTTTGTAACTCTCTAGATGTGCTGTAAAGGTGTTTTGGAGATTAATTAATCAAGGAACGACGTTACAGGAGTTAGGTTCTAGAATTGACTATAATATACTGAATAGCTAGTCAAAGGTTCTAGAGATTTTTGTAAGCCAAAGAATAAATTGTATGGAGTTAAGTCCATTTTGGTAAATGGGGGTTGATCTAAATCCATTTGAAATTTTTCATTTATTCTTAACACTGATTATTTTACTTTGTCACAATCATTGTTTGCTATGAAAGTAAGGGACAATTGTTTTTACAATAAACTTTTTGGATTATGTTTAGACCTTTTGATTATTTTCACAAACTGATTATTTGATTAGATCAATCTTTAAATAAAATAAAAAATTAAAAACAAATGCGATAAATGTTTTTGGTTGCTTTAACTCCTTTTGGATATTTTCCTGTTATTTCCAAAAAGGATTATTTTATATCATTGTGACGTAACCTTTATGGTAATAGAAATTAATTCTTTTTTCTTGGATTGAGTGACATCCCCTTTAGGTATTTTCATTTATTCTCAATAGGCCTTATTCTCAATAGGTTAACAAAGTTAATAAGGATGTTAGTCGAGCCTTTTGTTTTTTAATCAGTTCCAATGACTATACTCTGTTACTTAAGACCTAGACTGATAATAGCGTAAAAGACACCGCTTTAAATAAGTTAATTTTTTTTTACTCAATTAATTTTAAAACTTGAAGATTTAACTGTCACATTCAGAAGACTGTTAAGTCCTCTGATAGGAGTCTATTATTCTAGGTGGGCCTTTTTCCAAATGGGAAACGTTTGAAGACCGAAAGAAAAATCAAGACCCTTTCCATCAATGGGGTGAACGAATCAAACGAAAATACAGTTGTGAAGAAACATCCCAAGCTATTGTGAAAAGATTTAAGTGTCAAACTGATGAAAACTATGATGACATTTTCGAGGAGATTGCTATTCGCTATGGCAACCTCAAAAGTGAATATGCAAAATGTTTTGCGAGGTTGAATATTTTAAAAACTTTATCCGAAGCTGAAATGTTTGAGGAAGGAAATGAGCCTTCTGCCCCACCCTTGTCAATTATTGGGTCTTTAACATCGAGGAAATCGCTGTCCATTTGTTCTGATCGAACTCTTTCTACATTGCCTATTGACGAATTAGATTCTGTGAGTGTACATTCAAACAGAGATAACAAATTAATCCATTGTAATAGACAGAAAGATAACTCCAATTTACAAGTTGCTAAATATCAAAGTACAGGTGAAAACAAAGAGGAAGAGGAAACGTTTCCTGTGATCTGCAATTTGTGTTAAAAACACCAAGTAACTTTGAAGGCTTCAATTTTAATCAAGTTTTGTGTGTGATTTTAATTTATTTATTGATAAATATTTAAATTGTTATGTCATTTGATCTGTTGATTATTTTTAATTGTGATAAATTATACTAAATGGCTTTAAATATTACTGATCTTACTAGATTTTTATTTGTATCTTTTTTTGTATGATGATAATTAAGTTTTAGTATTTTCAATCAGGTATTTCGATATTGAGCGCTTTTGTGCATCTACATTGTTCCTTATTTCATTGTTTTGAAATGATCTACTAAAATTAGATGTTAGCTATTTTATAGCATCGTGTTCGTACATGTTTTGTGAGAATTGTTATTTAGATCCTTTATGCTTCTTTGAAAAAAGAAAAACATGTTCAAGTAGGATGTAGTTAATATCTCAAAAATATTTCAAAAGTACTTATTGTCAGTAATAATAGTTTAAAATATTTTATTATGTCCATGGATTGCCCAGTTGTGAATTCAAAAGTAAATAATAAATTTACATGTTTATATTGTTTTTATACTATTTAGCCTTTATCTTTTTTATTCTAGTAACTAATTGGTAATTTATTGTTCTTTTGTACCTGATTTGAAATAGTGTTACAAACTCATATCATGATTGTGTAAAAGAATCAATATTATAGATTGTTAGAAATGCTTGCAATCACAATTCGATAGTGATATTGTATAATTAATTACTCATTTAGTTGAATCGTAGTCTTGGATGAAAATGCTTTGTTGAACATCCATATAGAATGGTTCAAAAATAATAGTTTGTCACTTAAAACTGCCAACAATAAGTTTTATGAAAATTTGGAGTGATGTATAAAAAATATAAGACGTAAATCAAATGTAAATTATGTTTAGGCGTTACAGGGCGGGGCATCTGTTCAACAGGCATGGGTTTGAATCCAGCTAATCACCTTTTGATGTAGGATAATGCGTAAATCCTACGGCTTAGATCCAAACGTTAGCGGCAGTTCACCAATAAAGGATGGGTTTATTTCCGACTAGAAAATCTTTCTTTGTGTAAAAAATCCCTCTCGCTAAAAACTATGATAGTAAAACCAAGAGGTATTGTTTTGCTCTTTTTTATAATGGGCTGATGTTAACCATGTATTGGGATATGTAAAATGTTGCATTCTTGTCTGTCAACACAAGGATTTGTATCATCTAAGCTTCGGCAACCCAACCAAAAACACCAGCTGACTGGTTTGATTAGTTTGTTGTAATACATTTTACCAATAACAGCTGTTTATAGTGGAAATGATTAAGCTATTATCAGCTAAGTTGTGAAAGTGATAGAATTTCCTTTCTTTAGGCCCGCCGCACATTGGAGGCGAGGTGCAGGCGGGAGCGAGGACTTTTTCGTGTCACCGCACATTGAAGCGAGGCGGACAGAGGTTTCCTAGCTTTGGTCGTACTTTAGAGAGTAGAGGAAGATTTTTTTACCTTTACTGATTCTGATTGTTCGTTGAATCATTTAGTTTTACTCTATTACTACTCTATGCTATCCAAAAAACATAAACAAATGTTTTTGAAAATGTGATTAGATGAAAAAAGATTAAGCCATCAGATTATGTTTTAACTACTGAACTGCCAGACCGGTCTTTTCACGAGAATATTTTCGTGTGAACAAAATACAGTTAGATGTTATCAATAATTTTATTGAAAGTGCCATTAGCAAAAAGGAATGCAATGCTCAACAACATATAGCCATCTGAATTAAATGCTCCATTACTATATCTTTCACTCACAAAACACTAGAAAACCAATGCAGGCGCAAGCGAGGTGCAGGAAAACTGTATTCCAACTACAACGCCGCGGAGGCCTGACAGAGGCTGCAGCTGTGCTGCGTGGAGGCTGCACGCAGCCTCTGCTCAATGTGCTGTACTCCATTTACGTGTATTACAGAATCAGCCGCGCCTCGCCTGAACCTAGCCTGCACCTCGCCTCGCTCCAATGTGCGGCGGGCCTTACGCTTTAAGAAACTGTACTAATACATGTATAAAGAATAAACTTTATATGTTCCTCTTAATGGTAAAATGTCACTTGTTTAGTTATGTGTTAAAATGGAATAAAGCATCTGTGTTAGTGTACTAATGATGTAGACACAGTGGACTAGGGATGTATGTTCCTGGGTTGATAGTGTATTCACTTAAGGTCAGAACGCCGACATTCCTCCTTTCCGTAATTCCATCCAAGTAACCTAAGTGAGTAAACTACTATCCCTATTGCTCTGTGTGGGTACCCTGTTATGTATTAACAATCAGCTATAAATGTTATTCTCTACAAACTGAAAAGAATATTTAACCAATTGTGATATCAGTAGTGTTACTTGGGCTGTCACACACTTAACTGCACTGTTTGAATATGTAAAGGTAAGAATCCTAAGTGTATACAGTATAACTTCAAGAATCCGAATCAGTGACATTCTGAAACTCTTACAGAAAGAATGTTAAAAACTACTGTAAGTATCATGATTAATTAAATAATACATACATAAGTTGGTAACACAACAAAATTCCTGAACGTCCCTCGTGGTCATGTAGTCATTGTCTCCCACGGTGAACATCATCTTCTTCTTCAGCGATGCGGAATAATCTTAAACTATTCTCCTGTTCTTGTAGAAATTTTCATCGTCCTCCGCAATTGCCGTAAAAGCGTGAATTTTTCTATTTTGTAATAAATTCCCCGCAGTACAGTAGAAATCCAACATCAGAATTTTTTACTATCCGAATATGGTTCAGACATTGATTCGGATAGTTAGAGTTATACTGCTTTGGTTTTCTTTAGTCAGTGTGATTTATTAATCTCACTAACCCTGCTCTGATGTTTAATAGAGTAATCACTTGGTAAATATTCAATTGTGGATTCAAAACTTAAAGATTTGTGACACTATTATTTTTATAATCTTCTTGGTAGAAGACCCTTATAATGGCAAGCTATAATTTAGATTAAAAATTAAATACTATCAGGCACAGGTTACGGTGATCACTGTCGGTTTTTGTTTCAAGGGGTTTTGTCTGTGTATGTTCTTTGAGTGGTATTATATTTTGAGAAAAATAGCCCTGGTCTTTCACTCAGATCTGATTTTTTAACCTATACTAGAAAATAAGGTAAAATGAATCTCTTTTAAGTATTGTTTGACCAATTGTAAATAGGTGAATGTCTTTTAGTTGGCTGCTACGTAATTGTTTCAAGAGGCTGTGTAAAAAATAGTACTTGACCACATCTATTACAGTCTGCCCTATGTCTACCGGGTCATATTCCTAAACACTGCACCCCTTGCCCTATAGTCCCGTTTAGCTTTCCCACTAACTTCAGTGAAAAAGTTACTGAAGCTGTAATAGTGGGAAAGCTAAAAGTGACGACTTAGTAAAACAGCCAAGAGAGTGTCGCAGATTTAGGATACAAGCCCCAGACCGGGGATCAGGAGACTGCTTTGATCATAAAGACGATGCCTACACTTCACAATAATGATTCTTTTTCACAATAGTTATTTCAATATAAATATCAACTGTCCACAACTGGAAATCGTATATTCTGCAAGTAATTATTAATAATAATTAATTTCATTCCATGTAATTTTTCTAAATTACATAACTCAAACAAAATGATGTAATTTTTGTCCGCAGGAGGAGGTTTTGAGATCGTTCAAGACGCAGCGACACCCTTCGGCTACAAGCGAGGGGAGGGGGTGGACGCAGGACACGGTGATCCTGAGTGGATCGTCAACAAAGAGCGTTACAAGTACGACGCTCTCTTTGACACGCTCAACCCTGTGGATGGGAAAGTCACAGGCGCAGGTATTTTGACTTGTCAACTCCAAATCTCAGCGGTAGTCAGATTTTGCTGGTTCAAGACCAGCTGATGGCAATATTTTATCACTACTACTAGCTTGACTATGTAAATTATAACAAAGGTACTTCTCCGCCTATCAGATCACCAGTGGTGAGAGGGTGAAAAAGTCGTATCATAAAATGATTAGACTGTTTTCATAGGATTGGGATGAAAGTTTGATTTTGCTGTAGCAGACCAAATATGAAATCAATCAGGTTTTTTTTTGCATTTCGTCTATGCCAGTAGGCTTTTTGTATGAAATAATCTTGGGAAAGCGAAAGCACTGAAAGCAGTATAAACCGATTGAATTTTCCCCCAATTTGCGCTGAAATTGAAGACCCTAACCTCTTAGCTAGCAACGCACCTCAAATTCATATGGTTTTATACCAATTATTTTGAAACAGTATTTTAGTGCTATTGGTCCTGATATTATATAACCTACATATTGACAAAATCACTAGGTTAGATACATCAATTGAGCCATTAGATATTTATCTTAAACATTTCATGGCAATGTGTTTGTAGGTACGCTATAATGACTAAAGAAATGTTTTCTGTTACCTACCTTTATTTAATTTGTGATTCAACCGTTTCACAATCAGTATAATTAATTTTATTAAAACCACTCAAATCATAAAGGAATTCTAACCAGAAGCCTTAATAGAAATTCTTTAGGACAACAAAGATACTATTCATATTTGTTGCTGAAGTTTAAAGTAAAGCTATTTTAATCTGAAGGAAATTTTGATTTATTTCTGAGATAATCATATGACTGCTCAGCAATGCCAATTTTGTGCAAAACAAAGCTATACAAAACCTTAAAATATTGTGTCATAAATATTTACACATTTTGTGTTAACAGCTGCTAAATCGGAGATGGTCAAGTCGAAGCTGCCGAATTCGGTTTTGGGGAAGATTTGGAAACTGTCGGACGTCGACCAGGACGGGTTTTTGGACTCAGACGAGTTTGCGCTCGCGATGCATCTGATCAACGTGAAACTGGACGGACACGACTTGCCACCAGAGTTGCCTCAACATCTTGTGCCTCCGACAAAGCGGTCCGAGCTGTGAGGCACGGGCCTGTACTTCTACTGGCGACACTTCACGTAACATCACGACACTTTGTGCATAATAAATTATTTTTGTAACTGTCCTAAATGTCACAGCATTGCATTTTGCCAGCTTAGTCGAGCTTTCAGCCGAAAGACATGTGTACATAAATTTATTGCTTGAAAGTTTATTTATTATTTATTTTAGCGGTACGTTTGCTGATAGCCTCAGCACATCTGTTTATTTGGTATTATTTTAGTGTGTATCGGTAATTTTACGTTATGTTGGTTTATTCAGTTATTACCAGTGTTGTTTATTCCAAAGTTTATTGATCATTATTTTATTTAGTGTAAATAAAGTTATGAGACTGATTGGGTTTTTGTGGTCCCTGTTTCCGGTGAATTAAATTCAGTTGTGTGTGAATGAAATGAAATAAAAATGCTTTATTGAGGCGAACTTAGGACCTCTTGGTCCTTTCCTGCAGTTAACCTCTATAATAATAATAAAATACAAAATTTCATGAACAAAAGTAAGTTACAAATTTATTGTTGTAAGAATAAACTTTGTTGTAAGAGTGTTTTAGTACTTAAAAGTTATAGTACTTAAAACATTCTTGACGTCAATCGAGAAGTTAATGTAATGTACTGCAGTGTTATTCTAATCGTTGGAGGATGTAATTGTATGAGATACCAAGAGGTGGACCATCATAAGTGTTGGCCAAAGGGGTCAAAAAATTTTACCAATCAATTACCAAGGGATCCTAAACCCCTTTTAAATAATTGGCTATTGGTTCTTTCACACTCACTCAAAGCCAATGTCAACTTTCCTTGTGTATAAGGAGGTACTTACCATATAAATTACATCTAACTTTATGGTAGTAGGTAAATGATTCCACGACATAATAATGAATTACCTATGCCTGATGGCAATGAAGTGAAATATAATCTCCTAGTCTTTTACTTGTTTGGACATTAACATAATACAGTACCGTACTGTCTTATTTTTGTTGAGCAAAGCAAGTAGTTAATGGCTCATTAAATAATAATCTGTGGTCCATTGTATAAAATTTTAAATTATCTCATTTATTTAACAAATATGGGATTTTCTTATAAATGTTTAAGAGAATTATTTGTGTTAAAAAATTCCCATTGGAGCATTGAACTATAGTGTCTAGTTTGCAAGATATTATCGATGTCTTAGAACACGCCCTGTCCGACTTACCCCTCCGCCACAAACCACAAACTATGCACCTGTTGGGAGGGCCACAACAACAGTGTTGGTCATCAGCAAGATCAAGAAGCAACAATCGGAAGTTGAAATGTGTTACACTTTCACTGCACATTCAACCCCCCCCCCATAGATGCTGGACAAGGGGTGAAAGAGAGGTGTGCACTTGGCTAAAGCCTGTCACTTATCAACAGAGTGTAGACATGTGAAAGGGGTTGTGATAAGTGTGTCTAACTCTAAACAGTCATACACCACAGAAATATCTTAGTATTTCAGATAGGATCATACAACCAAAGAATTATTGAGACTCTTATTCTGTAATCTATTTATTAAGTTTCTGCTATAAATTTGTTCTGTAATAGTAGTTTACACATCGGTTGTTTAAAGGTAGTTAGTGTTAACGACACGAGTAGAAAATTTAAGGTACGACCCTTGGCAAGTGCCTTACGCCTCTTTCACACGATGCGGCACTGCGCCGGACAAGCTGTGTCTTCACACGAGTTCGGTTTCAAAACACTTGAATAAAAACACTTGTACGTCTTCACCCTCCAAAAGCAGATCCAAGACTGACAAAAGGCTGTCAACCTATTGTAAGTTAAGGCGGATTACCTGACCAGACGGTGGAGCAGGACAATGGCTATGTTGACCCTACCAACCCTCCGAGTGAATCTCATTAACCACACCTCAGTGAATACTCCACTTAAAATTCAAATAAAATGAATAGATTAATTTAAAATATAATAAATTCGTCATATCTGAAAATATTGTATTCTAGAAGTCTCATAAAAATGTTTCATTGCGTATAAATTAGTAATTTAATACTAAATATTCTCCTCTAGTTATTAAGGAAAACGTTTGTTTTAATACTTTAAGTTGGCTGATTTGCATAGGATTATCATAAAAAACGCCTGTAATGCTTCGCAATTGCTCGAATTCGAGCAACAGGCACACTAGTGTATTTTTATATCATTTTATCAACAAAGACGAGGTGCTGTATTAACAAACAATAAAATTTTTCATCTATAAATAATATGCCAGAGGCGTACGTAATTACGCTGCCCATCCCCCCTTAATGTAAACATTATTATAATTTATTGCAATTTGATAATTCACGAGGTATATATACACTATACACTATACCCAAGTAGCACACATTGTTGGCCCAACATTAGGAAATGGTCAGCACAGTGTTCGGAAATGTTAACTCCTTGCCAACGTAGGCCCAACTGAAACATGTATTCGTTGGCCCTACAAAGGAAAAAATCGTTGGGCGTTTGTTGGATTTAAGTATAAAACATTCTACAACACATTTTAACAAATTAATTTATTTATAAGAACATAAATGCGTTGGCAGCAGAATTTAAGACGTTTGGAGAAAATTTGATCTATAATAAATGTAATCAGATGATGTTGTGATAGTTGTGATACTATATACAGTGGGAAACACCTACTTAACATATAATAATTAATGCAAATATTTTTTAAAATTAATATTCTTTAACTTATTTGAGAAAATTTGTAATAGTTGAACAATTTAAGGGGAAAGAATAATTAATCTTATAAGAATCAATTATAATAACACTAGCTGTACCCGCGGGCTTTGCCCCGTTTTACTTCATAAGTGAGCTCGTTCGCATGGCTCAATCACGTTCCGGTTGAAGTTCGTTCGCTACGCTCACTCACTTTTAGGTTGGAGCTCGTTCGCTGCGCTCACTTGCCTTCAGGTTAGCTCGTTCGCTACGCTAACTCGCCTCCGGGTTCAAGTTTGTTCGCTACGCTCACTCACCTTTTGGTTGCAAATTAGCTGTTGTCATAAAAAAATAATAGTGCTGCACCCTGTTGGTAAACATATTAACTTTTTAATGCTTTTGAACATCACAGAACCAACTTGTTTAATTGAAACAGCTGTTAATATTCATTAATTCCATTTAAATATGAGTACTCATAAGGTTAACATGGGAAACTCCAGAGCCACTGGGGCGGAGCCCGAGAGTCCGATCAGAATAAAAATAGCTTAGTTTTCCTATTTAATGCCTAAAGAATCCAAATTTGTGTACCAAATGCCTAAAGTGTACCAAATTTCAGCCTCCTAGGTAAATGGGAAGTGGGAGAATTAGTGATGAGTGAGTGAGTCAGTGAGGGCTTTGCCTTTTATATATATAGACTAGCTGTGCCAGCGGGCTTTGCCCTGTTTAACTTCTTAATTTTCAAGTTGAGCTCGTTCGCATGGCTGAATCCCATCCTGGTTGAAGTTCGTTCGCTACGCTCACTCACCTTTAGGTTGGAGCTCGTTCGCTGCGCTCACTTGCCTTCAGGTTATTGAACATCATAGAACAGAACCAACTTGTTTAATTGAAAAAGCTGTTAAGATTCATTAATTCCTTTTAAATATGAAAAATCATAAGGTTAATATGGGAAACTCTAGAGCCACAGGGGCGGAGCCCGAAAGCCCGATCAGAATAAAAACTGCTTAGTTTTCCTATTTAATGCCCAAAGAATCGGCATACCAAATTTCAGCCTCCTAGGTAAATGGGAAGTGGGAGAATTAGTGATGAGTGAGTGAGTGTGTCAGTGAGTCAGTGAGGGCTTTGCCTTTTATAAGTATAGATTACTAATCTAATGGTAATTAAATAATCTATATTCAAATACCAGTATCCTCTCCAATTCCTAGAAAAACAATTCAACTACTTGATGCCTAAACAGAATCATATTATATACTATACTGTAGTTTCAAATTTTAAGTATTGCGACCATTGCAACTGTCGGCTACTTTTTGACCACTTGAAAACTCTCAATATCAACAATCACAGATAGGCCTATCTCAGGGGTAAGGTAAGAGGCTCATAAGTCGAGAGTATCAGGTTCGAGACTCGTCTGGGCAAAACAATTTCGTTCTGGTTTTTTTTTCAAAATTTGTTTTTATGTATTTAATCAATTTACTCAACTATGCTTATCATACTAAATCTTTATTATTTGTGTTTTTATGTTTAGTTTTGGCCCCATGGGATGGTTAATGCTATGTTTAAACATAGATGTTTAATAGATGTATAATTATTAATGTTCAGGACAGAATAATAACATCTAATATACGTCTACACAAAACATAACACACGTCTATTTAACGTCTTTACAACGTTAAAAGTGGTGACATATAAACGTTGATAAGAGGTTTATTAGATGTTGACGTCCACTAAAAGTGATAACATCTAATAGATGTCGGCATTAGACATGAGAAACGTCTAATGAACATCTATTATACAGGACTGTGCTGTATGGGACACGAGGTTTCTGTGAAAGAGTGTTTGGTAGACAATTACTAAATATGACTAGTCAGCACAGATTAGAGTTCTCTAAGAAGATAACAAACTCTAGATAGCTTGACGCATACCTGAGATATGTGGTGATTCCAGGTTAACTTCGGGTCAATCCAAAAACCCTGCATCCGTGTCTTAAGGGTATACACAGAACCGACTGGGTTTTCTCGTCATTGAGCTTAAATATGTTCATATTGAACCACACTATGGCCTGTTCAAGGAGATCTTGGGCTTCCGTCCGTAATTGTGGAATATCACCCCCTCTGGAAATGAGTGTGGTGTTACATCTGCAAAAAGCAATGTAGAGCGCCATTAAGCCAACGGTCATTAATCATGATCGAGAATAGCACCCAGACAGCACACTTTATCCCGGGACATCCCATAGTAATCCTATATGTCCTGAGGACTACCCTGGGATGACCTCAGGATATGCTGTGAGCTTATCCGTGGAACATCCCCAGGCGGGGACATTACGCATTCCTGCGGATATCCCAGGTTGACCATAGGACTAACTATGCCTGTCGCAATATCCGTGGTATGTCCCGAGGAGAAAGTGTGCTGTCTCGGAGCGGCCCATAAGCACCGAACCCTGTGATACCCCATGGGTTAAACTTTAAACACTGGACGAGGTCCAATTAATTGAAACCAGCTGTCTTCTATTGGCAAGATGGCTAGAAACGGATTTTTTTAGAACTGTACCAACAACTCCATATTTTGTCATTTTCGAAATAAGCACATCATGTGACACTATCAAACACCTTGCTTAATCGCATACACTTAACAAGACTAAAGACTTATGTTCAATTGAATCATGTTGAATTATGATCATAAGATAACTGATACACATCCTTTCTTCTTGATGGCTTCATGTTAGATACAATACCAAGCACAATTGATCACTGGACACTTTTTTGATCCCACTCAAGTTGAGAGCCCGGCCTGGCGGCCTCACCATATGCTGTAGGAACAAGTCAAGAGATAACAGAAACTGTGGAATGCTGTTATGTACTGTATGGTACTGTGTTGACAGATTATTTTTATAAAGAAATCGTTTGGGGCAAACAAACAAATATATTCAGATTTATCACAGTTAGCAGCTTACCTCTTACTTTAAGGCTTCAAAAAAACTAACTGTGTGACAAAAGTAAGTATGCAGTAATTAGCAGTTTCCTGTAATATTATCAGTGCAAGGAAGCCCACTTCATCGGGTGACTGTAGGAGAAAATGTCTGTTTACTGGCCACCTGCATGTCCACAAGCAAACACACCTATCGAATCTGCATTCTGGGCTTCACTTCATGTAGTAAGAGCTTTGACTGCCTTTGATCATGTATTTTTTCCTACAGTTACCTAACAATGTACATGTTCTCTCACTGATTTGAGAAAGCAAAGTGGCCAATTCGCTCATCAGTGAGACAATGTTAACATTGTCTCGCTCTAATTTCTTTGTCTCACTAATTTAATTCACTAATTTCTTTCCAGACTTGCAACGTGAAGGCACGAAAATAGTGAGCGCGTAACATGCAGACAAGGTTGTAATGCTCGCGAGATACATTGGCAGCACTGGCTGTAAATCAGTTGGTCACTGGTCAGCTGTTGTACTGTTGTATTTGTCACAGCATTAAATGTCATACCAAAAGTTCACTTCTGTGTAAAAATATGTCAAGTTTCTTAACCAATTTATTTATTTTAAGGTAACTGTAGGAAAAATATAATGTGCAACTCGATTGCAAAGTGCAATCGCCTCACTCGAGAAACCATTCCTCACTCGCCTACGGCTCGTGAGTAAGGATTTCTCTCGAGTGAGTCAATTGCTCACTTTGCTCACTAGTTGCACAAATAACTATTTCCTAATGATGGCGAGATTTTCCGATATCGAGAATGGAATGAGAATCGGTCGGAAGGGAACGGAATTGGAATTAGGAACGGGAACAGCAAAGCAAGAAAAAGAACTACTCACTCAGACACTCACTCAATTAGTACAGTACAGTACTCACTGAGACCGAGACCGAGAACTGAACTATAGAAAAGAGAACGAGAAAGAAGTGCAAGTGCAAGTGAAGTGAATTTATCAATCAAATTATCAACGTAACGTAAATATCATGTACTTTAGACTTTAGGTTAATTCTTAAGACTTATAGGTTTGTTTGTGTGTTTTTATTTTATATGAGTAAATAGTTGCTTTTATCTTTGTTTTTGACATAAAGAAAACCTTTCTTTGTGGAAGATGTGGTAAGAAATTGTAGTCCTATAGGCTATGAAGACATAACACCCTGGAGGCAATTAGGCCCATTTCAAAACCTTAAAAGAAGTTTTTTCAAGGTAGGCCTAACTTAGTATTTACAAATTTGGCATGTTTACTAACAAATGTAATGTAAGTACCTAGGCCTAGGCTATGTGCTGATAAAAATACCAACATCACTAACTTACACTACCGGTACCGGTACATTATTGATGTAAGATTTTTTATTCCTTAGCTTCTTGGCTTTATCTAGGTTACAGTTTCTTAACTGGGCTATGCTAATATCAATTGAAACTATCGAATTGAAAATATTGATTGATAATCAATATTTTTAAATATATTTATTATAAAATTTAACTACCATAACCTAACCTAACCAACCAAACTTACTGATGGTGAAAAAATCACATGAAGGTTTACTAATCGAATCGATAGTTTCAATCGATATTAGCATAGCCCAGTTAAGAAACTGTACCCTTTATCTATAAGTAAACGCAGAGGATAACGCGCCCGGCAGTTATTATCATAACCTGACCTGGTAAGAATTTTGGACCCAGACTCCAGCTTAAAAACACTTTCTGAAGTGTGAAATTGTGTAAAAAGTGTATAAAATGAAGTTTTGAAGGATTATAATGGGGGGAAAAGCAATTCCAGTCCCAAATAAGCCTATTGACTGGATTTAATAAACGCAGAGGATACGCGTCTGGTAACAGGACGTGGATTAGGTGTCCGGCAGTTACTGTCATAACCTAACCTAACCAACCTAACTTGCTGATAATGAAAAAAATCAAATGAAGGTTCAATTCTCTTCATAGGCTAACATAAAATTGTAAAATGCCAAAAATTCTAACAAAAAATGTACAGTTAACCCTGGAACTGCCGATCGGTCATTTTATGACCGACAGGGTCCGTTCTGTAGTGCCATCGGTCACAAAAGACCGATCCAGTATTTTTCATATATATATAAGCTTCTACTCATCGGAACGAAGTATTTTATGCATCAATGTAAAGCCAAAGAGGTTGGCTGCCTGCTAATATGACAGTTTTACGTTTTATTGTATTGGCGGGCCTGCTAACATAATATGTTGATAAAAGTGTTTGGTTGTTGTTTCTATGCAGTAGTGATGTCGTCTGTAAACACGGTCGGTTATCTCGTATTTATTTCGTTGTTTTTGCGTGTTTTTCGGATCAAAAAGTTGTTTGTACTTATTGATTAACTCGTTTAGTTATATTCAAAGAGTGTTTTAGTAGTTTCCATTGTTATTTGTGAATATTTAGCGAACAAAGTGGACTTTGAAGTGACATTATGTGTGGGGGTTAGTTTGTTTTGTTGGATTACAAACTTGATATTTTTACAAGGCCGGACGGCTACGGAGGCGCTTGTAAAATCCCCATATAATTAGGCTCATTAGAAAGAAAAAAACGTAAACATCTTAGTAATCTGCTGAGACCCTTTCATTGTAGCTATTGTAGCTTCTAGTTGCTTATTTTAATCTTTGGTTACATTAGGAAATTATACTCCAAATTAATTTTGTGTTATAGTGTCCTAATTTTGTACATGTTAACTTTTAAATTATGTTTTTATGTAATATATAATTATTTCTAAGAAATGTAGTAAATATTTTAATTAGACAATAAAAATCACTGTTTATCCACAATATACCAGATAGCAGATATAGAACTCTTTTTCCGCACACGGGCTTATGCCTATGCGGAAAAATATATTTCTTTTTAATTTATATCTGTTTATTGTATTGTTTAAAATTTGGAAATAAACGATTTGATTTGATTTGACAATGGAAAATTATGCAGGACGATCCAGTGATTTACGTGAATTATTGATGAACGATCTTAGTGAAACTAATGATAATATTGATTCTGAAGTTGAGCCAGAGGAATCAGAAGAATCAGTCGTGGTGCCGGTAGGCCTAGGGGCAAGCCCATCAGTAAGTCAGCCTTGTGATGAGACAGGTGATGAATCAGATCTTGATGTAGACATTTATGTTTTACATAAATGTAAATGACATGTAAATGTAAATGACATGTTTTACTTTATTACTATTGTGTTTATGCCTGAGTAGGCTATTTCAAATAAGAAAGTGAATTATAATTTTGGTTTATTATTGTTATGTGACTGTTTGTGAACATTTATCTTCTTGGAGTTTATCGTTACCGTGGATACATAGTCCAAAAATTAGCAGGTATGCTTTTCAAATTATGTTTAGTTTAGATTTTTGTTGAATTACATTGTTTAGTAGCACATTAGGACTGACTAGTGCTGTATTTCATGACTTATAATAATTCTAGACACATATGTTTCCCATATGTCTGGTTCGCGCAGAATTTTCACCGAGCACATCATGTGAAAAATCTCAAATTTTATGAATAATATATTACTTTTTCAGTAAACAAAATTTATTTCTAAAAACTAGATCTAGGTAAAATTTGCAACAAAATGTATATTTTGGAATTCTTGTGGCATTTCTGATGTGTATTGGACATGAGACATAAAATGCGGTAATTATTTTTTTATACAATTTGTGTATAAAAAAATATGGTGTAAAAATTTTTTTTGTTATTTTACAAAATAAATTTTACTATTGTATTCCTTGTTATTTTCTGAATAAAATGATGGATAATACATTACTTAAGTCATACAAATAATATTTTTTACGAATTTTTAAAAAAATGTATGTTAATTGCTGAAAAAAGTGTTGGCATTTGAAGAAATTTTTTTGGCAGTTCCAGGGTTAAGAAGAAATTACATTCAAAGCAAAATCTGTGACAAAAAGTTAAAGTTACCTATGGGTTTCGAACCGGGTACCTCTTGCATATCAGCCGAGCACTCTATCCACTAGACCACGAACACTGATGGCTGAACATCGTATCATTGTGGTAATGGCGTTCCGGGACCCCCTACCGGACGCCTAATCCACGTCTGGTTACCGGACACGTATCCTCTGTGTTTAATAAAACTGAATTTTAATTTTGCATTATAATAATGCTATGGATTTACTATAAATTTTAGTGTTGATTTAAAATTATTACCTACTGTATTTTAATATGATCTTTTTTCAGAAGAGGCAATAGATTTGAAGAGGAAAAGGAACTTCAATAATTCATGTAGAAAAAAAAAACAATCTGCAAAGTATTATAGATACTAAAAACAACAGTTGAAAAGATAAAGTTTTTACTACACTAAAAGTACAAATGAAAGTAAGTAATTTACTATGTAAAACTTGAATTTTAATTAATGGCTGATGCAATATAATTTGAAAACAACATGAAAAAATAGAAATCACTTTTTCTTAAAATAGGACTACACGTAACTGTCCTAAGAAATAGACATACAAAGCCAGTTGACTAATTCCAATTAGTTTCTAGCTTGTCTAATAAGTTAGAAGTTGGAAATTGAAAACAAAAAAATGTTAAAGGTCACTAAAAAGCCTCGCCTTAAGTGTCCAATATGTAGAAAAACGTTTTCTACTCTATCAAATATGAAGTCTCATATATACTTACACACCAGCGAGCGTCCCTTTAGATGTTTAACTTGTGAGAAAATATTTATTCATCTACATCATGTTAAGACTCATTTGTTAATTCATTCTGATAGGCGTCCTTATAAGTGTGCTACATGTGGAAAATCCTTTGCAACCAGTGGACGTATGAAGCAACATACATTAGTACACACTGGAGAGCGACCTCATAAGTGCACTTTATGTGGAAAATCCTTCTCAACCAGTAGCAATATGAAGAAACATACATTAGTGCACACTGGAGAGAGACCTCATAAGTGTACTATATGTGGAAAATCCTTCACAACCAGTTACTATATGAAGAAACATACATTAGTGCACACCGGAGAGAGACCTCATAAGTGTACTATATGTGGAAAATCCTTCCAAACCAGTAGCGATATGAAGAGACATACATTAGTACACACCAGAGAGAGACCTCATAAGTGCACTATATGTGGAAAATCCTTCCAAACCAGTGTCAGTATGAAGAGACATACATTAGTACACACCTTAGTGAGACCTCACAAGTGCACTATATGTGGAAAATCCTTCCAAACCAGTAGCCATATGAAGAAACATACATTAGTGCACACTGGAGAGCGTCCTCATAAGTGCACTTTATGTGGAAAATCCTTCTCAAGCAATGGCAATATGAAGCAACATACATTAGTACACACCGGAGAGAGACCTTACAGGTGCGCTTTATGTGAAAAATCATTCAAAACCAGTTACTATATGAAGAAACATACATTAGTGCACACCCGAGAGATACCTCATAAGTGTACTATATGTGGAAAATCCTTCACAACCAGTAGCGTTATGAAGAAACATACATTAGTACACACCGGAGAGAGACCTCATAAGTGCACTATATGTCGAAATTCCTTCCAAACTAGTGACATTTTGAAGAGACATACTAATGTGCACACAGGAGAGAGACCTCATAAATGTACTATATGTGGAAAATCCTTCCAAACCAGTGGCCATATGAAGAAACATACATTAGTGCACACTGGAGAGAGACCTCATAAGTGTACTATATGTGGAAAATCACATAGGAGCAATACATGTGGAAAATCATTTACAATCAAAAAGATTTGTGAAGAAACATACATCAATTCACACCCAAGAATTTAATCAGGGGGAGTTTCGATGATGAAAAACATTTAAAAAACGTAAGTAAAGCATATATGTCATCTACAGAGCTAAAAATTATGTCATGTTGTTCATAAATTATGGCTGTAAGTGCCTGAGGAGCCTCGTTGCGGCTTACAAGCGAACTACGGATGCGTACGCATAAACAGTCCTTACTTAAAAAACAGCCCTTGTAATCAGATATTCTTTGTTTACTTTTAGATAAAAAATAACGCAAATCCACTTTGATTCACGTAGGTTTGAATCATTTTCTTAAATTCTTCCATTACACGTCCCAATATGTCACGGCAACCAAACAATTTTTTTCTGCCACTTTCAGGTTAATGGCATCCTTTAAGATCCATCAGAGTTCGGGCATAGATAACACTTACTCCCTTAGTAGATTCTCCGCCGTATAGGGCTCGGTATGTTCGAGCTGCTTGTACGGCGAAGTTGCTGGCCCACGTAGTTCTGTACGGTCAGGCTAGGAGCGCTAGAGGTCTCGCCGTACAACCATAAACATAAACACACTCTTACCGCGTTATAGCTGTCACACGCACGTCCGCACACCCCGCGCGGCAGCGTGCTCGTTGGCGCCAGCACACACCCTGGCACACACACAACACTCACACCCAGCTTGACTCCCTACAGCGTGATTTGTACGTGTAGAGCCACGGAGCCTCCTCTAACTGTATTTCAGTATTTGTATCATCAGTTGTTTTATTGCGATTGTTCTAGTTTAATTAATGTGATGTTGATAATTAATTGTTTTTTTTATTAGAATAGCCATCTATTGTATCTGTTACTTGTGGGTATTTTGAACCGACTTCCCCACTACCAACAAAAGAATAAGGTTCTCAATTTGTTTGTTCCAATGTATCTTTTTCTATATATGTTCACCAATTTCTCTAAGATTTTTATACCGATCAGCGTGGTTCCACCCCCAAAATAACCAGGAGGATTACCCTTTGGTACCATATACAGGGTGTTTTTTTTAAAACTTGCATCTTTATTACCCTTTGGTACCATATACAGGGTGTTTTTTTTAAAACTTGCATCTTTATTTATGTTAAACCCGCAATAGATAGAAATATGCAGTTAGCGGGAATCATCTATTGACGTAGGGGGGACGATTTTTTTGAATTCAACGTTACATTCACATTCCCCCCCTTTCCCCCCTGCCCCCAACTTAATTTTTTTTAAATAGCAAGGTACCCCTTGTGACATATCAAATAAAAGAGCATGAAAAAAGAAAATGTTTGATGAAAAAAAATTGCTAATCGGTTCATAAATTTGTGAGATATTCCCCACCTTTCCCCCCTCCCCCCGGAACTTAATTTTTATAAAGCAAGGTACCCCTTGTGACATATCAAATGAAAGAGCATGAAAAAAGAAAATTTTTGGTGAAAAAAAATTTTAAATCGGCTCATGAATTTGTGAGATAATCCCCCCCCTTTTCCCCTACCAATAACTTGTTTTTTAATAGCAAGGTACCCGCACTTGTGACATATCAAATGAAAAATAAATTTCACCAAACATTTTCTTTTTTCATGCTCTTTCATTTGATATGTCACAAGGGTACCTTGCTATTAAAAAAAAATTAAGTTCCGTGGAAGGGGGGGGGGGGGAAATATCTCTCAAATTTATGAACCGATTTTCAATTTTTTTTTCATCAAACATTTTCTTTTTTCATGCTCTTTTAATTGATATGACACAAGGGGTACCTTGCTATTTAAAAAAAAAATAAGTTGGGGGAAAGGGGGGGAATGTGAATGTAACGTTGAATTCAAAACAAATTGGGCCCCCTACGTCAATAGATGATTCCCGAAAACTGCATATTTTTATCTATTGCGGTTTTTATATAAATAAAGATGCAAGTTTTTAAAAAACACCCTGTATATAACATTATGTTTAAGTGTAAAGTGCTTTAGTAGCTTTAGTAGCTTAGTAGAAAGATATTTGTCAAACTAAGAGTTTCAGTTGAGTTATGTTCCTGAAACCAAAGGGGGATGTGTAACTATTTTATAGAATGGAATGCAAGACAATTTTTTTTGTTTAGTGCCCTCTCTGTTGCGAAGAACGGGTACAACAGCTAGTTCAAAATAAATATCACCAATGAAAAGCTTGTTAAAAATGTATGATATTTCATATATTATACATTTCTGTATGATTAAAGCCCTCCCACCACCTATGAACACCAGCTGCTACTGCATCTATCAGTCTATCACTGGATTACTCTCGCTACATAACACAACACATTTACTCTGCTTTTTGACACTTGTCACTGATGGTTTCTGCCACTGATATGGTTGTCACTGATATTGCACTCCGGACATGTTGGAGTAATGTTTGTTTCCTTAACCTGAAGAGGATATGGAATGGAAGACTTTGTGACCTTGAAGCAACATACATTGGTTCTTACAGAAGAGCGACCCCATAAGTGCACTTCATGTGGAAGCAGGATGGGGCTCCTCCTTATTGGCTCTCGCTCTGCAATGCCCAAGTTTTTAAATGACAAACTTCCTGATGGTTTTATTGGCCGCTGTAACGTTGGTAAACATAACCTGTTCTACTGTTGTCACTGTAATGTGAATACTTTCCCACAAATTGGAGAGGTTTGAGCTAATAGCAGGATGTATGCCCTGTTATTCACATAGCCCCAGAGAAAGAAATTGTAAAAATTCCAGCAAACAGGTTGACCATTCATGTATCGTCAGTTGAATGAAGTATTTTAAAACCCAATAAATACTTTTTGGACACCCAGACCATACCTATTGAGATAAAAGTTATATTATCTGCAATTACATTTATAATTTTAATTTTGCATTATAATTATGCTATGGATTTACTATAAATTTTAGTGTTGATTTAAAATTATTATTTAAATAAATTATAAAATTTTTGTTTAGACTAAATGAAAAAACATACTATCCAAATGATTGCAACAAATGTTTATATTTAATAAAATATGATCTTTTTTCAGAAGAGGCAATAGATTTGAAGAAGAAAAGAAACTTCAATAATTCATGTAGCAAAAAAAAACTGAATCTGCAAAGTATTATAGATACTTAAAACAACAGATAAAAAGATTAAGTTTTTACTACACTAAAAGTACAAATGAAAGTAAGTAATTTACTATGTAAAACTTGAATTTTAATTAATGGCTGATGCAATATTATTTGAAAACAACATGAAAAATAGAAATCACTTTTTCTTAAAATAAGACAACTAATTTAATATGATTGAATATAAAAGTCAAGAAAAATGCCTCAAGCAGGCTGTGTTGTATTGTATTTAATGAACATAAAAATATTTGATCAAAAAGTTGATCAAATTTGATTGTTACACATAACTGTTAAACACCAAATCCTAAAAAATAGACATACAAAGCCAACTGACTAATTCCAATTAGTTTGTAGCTTGTCTAATAAGTTATAAGTTGGAAATTGAAAACAAAAAAATGTTAAAGGTCACTAAAAAGCCTCGCCTTAAATGTCCAATATGTAGAAAACTGATTTCAACTCTATCAAATATGAAGCCTCATATATACTTACACACCGGCGAGCGTCCCTTTAGATGTTTAACTTGTGATAAAATATTTTTTAATCTACATCATGTTAAGACTCATTTGTTAATTCATTCTAATAAGCGTCCTTATAAGTGTACTATATGTGGAAAATCCTTCACAAGCAGTGGCAGTATGAAGAAACATACATTAGTACACACCGGAGAGAGACCTCATAAGTGTACTATATGTGGAAAATCATTCCAAACCAGTAGCGATATGAAGAGACATACATTAGTACACAACAAAGAGAGACCTCACAAGTGCACTATATGTGGAAAATCCTTCTCAACCAGGGGCAGTATGAAGATTCATACATTAGTACACACAGGAGAGAGACCTCATAAGTGTATTATATGTGGAAAATCCTTCTCAACCAGGGGCAGTATGAAGAATCATACATTAGTACACACCGGAGAGAGACCTCATAAGTGTATTATATGTGGAAAATCCTTCTCAACCAGGGGCAGTATGAAGAATCATACATTAGTACACACCGGAGAGAGACCTCATAAGTGTACTATATGTGGAAAATCCTTCTCAACCAGGGGCAGTATGAAGAATCATACATTAGTACACACCGGAGAGAGACCTCATAAGTGTACTATATGTGGAAAATCCTTCCAAACCAGTGACTATATGAAGAAACATACATTAGTGCACACCGGAGAGATACCTCATAAGTGTACTATATGTGGAAAATTCTTTACAACCAGTAGCAAAATGAAGAATCATATATTAGTACACACCGGAGAGAGACCTCATAAGTGCACTATATGTGGAAAATCCTTCCAAACCAGTGCCGTTTTGAAGAGACATACATTAGTACACACCGGAGAGAGACCTCATAAGTGCACTATTTGTGGAAAATCCTTCCAAACCAGTGGCAGTATGAAGAAACATACATTAGTGCACACCGGAGAGAGACCTCATAAGTGTACTATATGTGAAAAATCCTTCCAAACCAGTAGCAGTATGAAGAAACATACATTAGTGCACACCGGAGAGAGACCTCATAAGTGTACCATATGTGGAAAATCCTTCCAAACCAGTGGCGATATGAAAAAACATACATTAGTGCACACCGGAGAGAGACCTCATAATTGTACTATATGTGAAAAATCCTTCCAAACCAGTAGCAGTATGAAGAAACATACATTAGTGCACACCGGAGAGAGATCTCATAAGTTTACTATATGTGGAAAATCCTTCCAAACCAGTAGCGATATGAAGAGACATACATTAATTCACATAGGAGCAATTCGTGTGGAAAATCATTTACAATCAAAAATATTTGTGAAGAAACATACATCAATTCACACCCAAGAATTGAAGCAGGGGGAGTTTCGATGATGAAAAACATTAAAAAAACGCACAGTAAAGCATATTATGTCATCTACAGAGCTGAAAGTTATGCCATATTGTTCATAAATTATGGCTGTAAGTGCATGAGGAGCCTCGTTGCGGCTTACAAGCGAACTACGGATGCGTACGCATAAACAGTCCTTACTTAAAAAACAGCCCTTGTATATCATCTGTTAAATAAAGATTTATATACAGGTAAGTAGTTAGGCACTACAGTAACTATAATTAATTATTATTATTTAATTAAAACCATTTAAATGTTATGTTTTATTACTAATTATACTCAAGATAACTCAAGATACTGTTATGGAAAAACGACCTCTGAGGTGTACTTATTATTTCGCCTTTCTAAGCCAATTCATTTTTTACTCTTTTTATATATATATATATATATATACAGCTGTAAGCTACATAAGCTGCTTGATAGAAGTAGAATGGACTGAGGAATTGGAGTTTTCTGTCAAATATTAACAAAAGCAAACATAAAACTTCAACCTCAGTTTACTCAAAACTTAAATTTCAGACTGAGGCCGTTTTTCCACCCTACTCCTCAATTGAAAAGTATTCAGCTGTTGAAATGTAAACAAATCATTTATCCATACGGATAACATGGGTAGGTACTTTAACCCTTCCAGGGCTAAATTAAATGAAGGGCTGGAGCTTAATTATTTTTTGCCAAAAATTAAAAACTAAAGTGGTTGTGTTTTGTATTTATTTCACTTGAAATAATTCATGGATCGTAAAAAGATTTTCCTTAGGGCTGAACTAATTTTTGTACAAAAGTTATGAATAAAATAAAATTTGATTTGACGGATATATCCGTCTTTGGCCCACAAAAAACATAAGGTGGACGGATATATCCGTCTGCCGCCCTCAGTGATAATCACAAAATATGAACACTGCCAATAATCTTGAGTATCTTGTGGGCGGCAGACGGATATATCCGTCAACCTTAGGCTATTCCTTCTCTTGTTTTATTTTTTATCCATAAAAATGTATCTATCATTCTGAAGTAAATCTAAACCACTCAGTTCCACTCCCATGTCCTCAATCCCATTCCCCGCCAAGACTTCCACTACGTAAAAACTGTTCTTCAGGTTCATCATATCCATCACATTCCATACTATTATTTTTCACTTCCAAGTATAAAACCCCTCTCAGACATACTTTGATTAAGCATCTCAATAACATCTTCAAATTTCAGATCGTTTGCATTAGTATCTTTAGCTCAATAACATAAAAATAAAGTACAAAACACAAAATGTAAACATCACTCACTAACAACCATGTGTGAAGTGACAGCAATATTTACTTACGCACACTCTATGGTGCAAAATAGCCGAAACAGCTGCGGCAATTATTATTGCCAACCACAAAAACAAAATAACCCATTTATAATGCAGTATAATGTTAATTACCGTATTATAAACATTGTGTATCAATTTGTTTTTTGGACGGATATATCCGTCTTTATCCCAGAAAAGAAATTTCTCAGGACGGATATATCCGTTTTCAGCCCGGAAAGTAAACAAAGATTGACGGATATATCCGTCCATAGCCCTGGAAGGGTTAAAGACCAAACCACTAAACTCATAGCCCTGAGAAGTTTTCCAAAATTTCAACAGAAACCTTTGGTATGGAACCACTCCCCAAAGTTTCTTTACGATCGGTCGGCCGGTTTGGTAACGTATGAAGGACAAAAAACTACAAACATTTATTCCAACAACAATTTATTCTTTTCAGTCTGATACGGTGCAACTACTAGGAGAATTTTGTATAATTCATGTTACATGTTTAACTTTGATTGTTATAACAATTGTTTAAATGTAAACAATTCGGTTTTAATTGTTGGTTATGTTAATGGATGCATGATATAAATACTGCTGTGATGAGGTTGTTTGGGTGTAAGTAGATTAAGTAACCTAAAATGCTGTATGATTCTGATGATTAATGGTATTAAAACATAGTATAACAATGTTATTATGTAAACATTAGAGTCAAGTGATTAAATACAAAACATCAAATTAAATACATTGTTGAATTTTCATTAAAATTTCCTTTGGTTCCTTAAATTAATTTTTTTTATAAATACTTACCTAATGTTTCACAATTAAATTCTAAAACAATGAATTACTAATTGTATGTCCAGCTTATTATTAGTTTCAAAATAAAATTCTCAAATCACAGACATTAGGCTACCTACTTCATTTATTTTTTTAAAAATTTTGCAGAGTTTTTTGCCAGTAACAGTCCTACATTACTCTCGAGTGCGGATTTTATAGTGTCCATGAGGATTTCATCTCCGCCCGACAAAATAAAAAAAATCTAATTTTGGAAAAGTATGAAATGGGATTTCAATTAGGAAATAAGGGTTTATTTTTTATTGTTAATTATCAAATGATTTGTTGATAATGACTAATGAATGAATTGTCGGTTATTTATAGAACACTACACCTTTTACTCCATGACTATGCGCTTCTTTTGTACTTCGTATTAAATAACAGTAAGAGTATATTCGCGTATGATTGTAACACGTAACAAGGGATTAGCTGCTAGTGCTTTGCTGATGCTGGTGGATACGCTGTACGGCAACAACGGCGCCGGCCGTGTTTTAGCGTGTTGGGCTTTGGCTTAGGCCATTCTCTTTCGCAGACTAATGCTGTCGTTGTTCCTCACATTGCCACGAGGTTGCGCCACTGCACTGATGCCGCCTAGAGCGCTAGTACTAGAAAACCCGGATAGAGCGTACTGAAGTTCGCCCGTTTTAGCCGTCCTCACATTATAACATGCTGGCGAGGAATCTACTAAGGGAGTACTATGGTTCGGGGTTCATTGAGGTAAACACACTAACAAAAATTTACACACGCGTGAAATAACCCTTTCTAGGAATCTAATACCAATGAATACAGAACCTCATAAGAAGCAAAACTGCCATATTAAAAGATGCCACGCTACGAATATTGCCACCAGCGGTTGTTCACAAATCAATTATCAATCATTGAGATGGGGACGCCACCTATGTGCGTATTTTAACCCAAATATGAGTGTAGAATGGTGTGTGATGACCTGTATAGCTTTGTTACTGACTAAGATAAGAATTTGAATGAATTGTAAAGAAATAAAAGAAAATGAGATGTTTCTTGACTTATATATTTAAATATGTACTTAAATATATATTCTACTCTCCTTGACT